TTGCATGCGGTTATGTGTATATACCATAAAACGCATTGGTCACACATTAGAAAACAGAGAAAACGCTACGCCAGTACAGGAAAATGAATCAGAAAGTCCAATTCCGGCTGGTAGCGCCGGTCGCCAAATCACCGCTTTCAACTAATACTCATTTTCATTACGACCGCCTGCCATGAAATGTTCAGTTTGACTCCATGACCTAACTTTGCTATATTTAGAAAGTACTGGAGGTCCAAATGATTCATTAACGAAGTTGCATTAAAATCAGTCCAATCGCTGTTACCAATAGTGGCCGTTGATAGACATGAGCAGACTCTACGTTTCGGCCGCTACCACTGTCTGTCCATTTCAAACGTGCGAGCATAGTTTAAATCGATATCACTAACAACACCATTTTAAAGCTATGCATGCAATTTTGCTATCATCATGGAGCCAGTGGATCCATCCCTCTTGAACAAAATGTCATTCGGGTATGCCCACTCGGAGTTACCAATAGGGCCGATGATAGGCGTAAAGCGAACTCTACGTTTCGGCCACCAGTATCATTTGTCCATTTCAAACGTGTCAATGTAGTTTCCATCGGTGCAACGACTAGTGGACATCATTCTAAAGCTGTTGAAACGGCATCCGAAATATTCTAGCCCCGGTTGCTTTTCACGGGCACCACCATGGCCTATTGGGCACATACCCAGAGCTTGCGTTAAGTCCTGCGCAATGCCTACACGCCTTCGAGCGTGAAGCACGGCGTGTATGCGGTGTATGTGTATGTGCCACGATGTATGTGCCACGAAACGCATGTTTACTCGAAAAATCAGGTCCAACGGTCACATATGACACGCGGAAAAGCGGATACATCCCAACAAGCACACAATAGAACGAGAGTTTCCAACAGGGTCGGTGATAGGTTTAAAACACAGCTCTTTACGTTTCGGCCGCAAACATGGTCTGTCCATATCAAACGTTGGAGTCAAGATCTTATCAGTGCGATCATAACCGGAAACCATCTTTGTTTAATAGGGTAATTGAAATATTCCATCATAAGTAGGTCGTGCCCGGGGAGCACCACGTCCTACTGGGCACATCGCGACAACATGCGTTAAAGCCGACGCAATATGTAACAATATGCGAGACTGAAACAAGCTGTGTATGCGACTATGTGCAGATACCATGAAACATGTGCTGATGTAAAATTCCAGCATCGTGGTCAGGGCAATAACAACATTCTAGCCTCGGCCGATTATTGCCGGGCTTATAAGACAGGAAGCGACAGCGTGTATTTGGGCCGGTGCAGCACCTAATCGCACGCGAGCCTGCAACAATGTATGCGGCTTTATGCATATACCATGAAACGGCGTTTAACTGTACGTTACGTTGAGTCCCTGGTCGACACAGTAGGCCGCTAGTTAACTTAAGGGGCCCCAGCCAATGTAAAGCGCAGGCGCCAGCCATGTCCCCATTTTGAAAATGGATCCCAGAGGCCAGGCCACGTTAGTGGCATTATATCCAGGAATCATTTGGAGCACCTTGCAGTAGTTTCCAAATGCACCAAAGCCATTTCATGCAGTTCAGTTGGATATTTCCAGGCAGGCGGCCGTAAGGTAAGTTGAAGAGTTTAGCTGCAACAGTGATGAAAGGTCTGCCGCTGGCACCCATAACATGCCTGGAAACACGTTTCAGAAAGGGAGGGCGTCCCTAGTCATACTGTCGGCGATTTTTCGCATCAAATTCCATCAATTTAATGCTCTACATTCTCAGAAATGCCGTTGCGCTCGAACCTTCATCGGCATAGGAGCCACAAGCGCATTTGCATAGGATATATTGGTTCCTCTGCTCCGCCATGAGCAACAATTGCCCTTTATTTGTCAGATAAACACGCTTCATGAGAGGTATATGCCTATAGCTGCAAAATAACAATTGTTTATGCTCGCAGGCGATTAGGTTACTGTGTCGGTCTTAATGTACTTTGTGTGTATGTGTCACATGGTCCGTAGTGGTGTGCAGTGGTAATCTGCCGAGGATTGCACATTTTGATTGCTTATAAACACTTTTGAAAAGGTATTCACTGATGACTGCACCGATGGAAAATATACTGACACCTGACATGATCAGATGATGCTGGCGGCTGAAATTTAAAGAGTGCGCTTATGCCTATGAACGACTCTATTGGTAATTCGGGATTGGCTTTCTCAAATGATATCTTCTTCAGGAATGGTAAGGTCATTTTTTCTACGATATGAGGAAAAAACCCTCACGTTCTTAAAATGGTGCAGGTGGTGGTTGCATCGATTAAAACTATATTGGCACGTTTGAAATGGGTGGATAAGGCTGACGGCCGAAAAGTAAAAGGTATGATTATGCCCATCAACGGCCATGTTATTGACTCGAAATGGACTCGCCTAAAGGGAATTTTGTTCAGGAATGATTTTAAACACCCTGCGGTCGTTTCCAAACGCAGCAAAGCAATATCGCGCATTGAAATTGGAGAGTTCATAGCAGAGGGCCGGAATGTCAATTGAAGAGTTGGGCTGCAAATGTAATACATGATCCGGCGTTGGCACCCAAAACATAGACGGATGAAAGTCTCAGAAAGTGAGGGTGATCACAGTCTTATCGGAGTCGATATTTCCCATCCATTGCCATAACGCTAATACTCTGCATACATTCTCAGAAAGTGTCTAATGGTGAGGGTGCCATAACACTCACGGAACTCGCGTTTCAAGACTAGGAGAAACCAGTGTCATCTAAATCGTGTCCAAATGGTGTACGCCAGTGGTTGCACCGACGGACACTGCTCAGGGCAATAGCAACATTCCAGCCCCGGCCGATTATTGACGGGGAGCGCCACGGCTTATGAGGCACAAAACGACAGCTTGTACTGGGGCCGGTGCAATGCCTAACCGCATATGAGCCTGCAACAATGCACGTCTGCGGCTTTATGCATATACCATGAAACGGCGTTTCACTGTACGTCACGGTGAGTCCCTGGTCGACACAGTAGGCCGGTAGCTGACTTAAGGGGTCCCAGTCAATGTAAATCGCAGGCCCCAGACATGTTCCCATTTTTAAATGGGTCCCACAGCCCAAGTCACGCTGGTGGCATTACGTTCAGGAATCATCTGGAGCACCTTGCAATAGTTTCCAAATGCAGCAAAGCTATGTCATGCAGTGCGAATAGAGATTTAAAAGCAGGCGGCCGTAAGGTAAGTTGAAGAGTTTGGCTGCAAAGGTGATAAAAGGTCTGCCGCTGGCACCCGTAGCATACGCGGAGCGTTTCAGAAAGGGGGGGGGGGGTGATCCTAGTCATATTGTTGGCGATTCTTCCCATCCAATTCCATAACTTTAATGCCCTACGTTCCCAGAAAGTGGGGACGCCGTTGCGCTCGAACCTTCCTCGGCATAGGAGGCATAGGCGCATTTCCATAGGATATTTCTCTGCTTCGCCATGTGCAACCATTATCCTTCATTTGTCAGATAAACACGCTTCGTGGGAGATACGTGCCTATAGCTGCAAAACAACGTTTATTCACGCTCGCAGGGAACTAGGTCCTGCTTCGGCCTCAAAGTACGCTGTATGTGCTTTGTAGGCCGTGGTGGTGTGCAGATCTGATCAGATGATGATGACGGCCGAAACGTAAAGAGTCCGCTTATGCCTATGAACGACTCCGTTGGCAATTCGGGATTGGCTCACTCGAATGACATCTTGTTCCGAAATAATGAGGCCATTTCTTCACCATATGAGGGAAATTATCTGTATATTCTTAAAATGGTGTTGGTAGTTGAAAAGATTGAAACTACATCGGTGCGTGTGAAATGCGTGGATAAGGCTGGCGGCCGAAAGGTAAAATCTACGATTATGCCCAGCAGCGGCCATACTAACTCGAGGTGGTCTCACCGAAAAGGCATTTTGTTCAGGAATGATTTTAAACACCCTGCAGTCGTTTCCAAACGCAGCAAAGCAATATCACGCATTGAAATTGGAGAGTTCATAGCAGAGGGCCGGAAGGTAAATTGAAGAGTTGGGCTGTAAATGTAATACATGATCCGGCGTTGGCACCCGAAACATAGCCGGATGAACGCCTCAGAAAGTGAGGGTGCTCATAGTCTTATTGTAGTCGATTCTTCCCACCCATTGCCATAACGCTAATACTCTAAATATATTCTGCACCATAACACTCACGGAACCCACGTCTCAAGTCTAGGAGAAACCATTGTCATCTAAATCGTGTCAAAATGGTGCCCACCAGTGGTTGCACCGATGGACACTATTTTGGAATGTTTGTTAGAGACACATAATGCCGGTAGGCAAAAACGTTGAGTCAGTTCATGCCTTTCTCCGGCCCCATTGGCAGATCAGCGTGGACATGCCTAAATGCTGTTTGTTCATGGGTCACTTGGACCTTCTTGCAGTAGTTTCTTGAGGAAGCCTGGTGGGAAAGGTGGTTTTCCACCATTATTAGATTCCCTAGTGATACGATACGAAGACCATAACTCGTGTCACGTGACGTCATGAGCAGCACGTAAAACTCTTCCCATTTTCTTACTTTATCTTTTTCAAACGGCATCACCATAAGAATGTTAACCACGAGTACGTAGGCAGATGCACGTACGCCGCAACGGTCACCCCGAACGTCGTGAGCAACGGGAAAACACAGCCGAAAAACGTGTCCCACTGAAAGTTTTCAACTGATGACCGATTCATTCGTCCCAGCGGCGTCATCAGTAGGATGCAAGACACGTGGTATTACGAATGCCTGCTTGGTTTTCAATGTTGTCATCATAAGCAGCTTGTGAGTCCTTGCGATGTCGAGAGAAGTAAAAGAAGCCCAATCTTCGCATGTACCAGTGACGTCATGAGGAGCGCAAAACCTGGCATTGGGATGATTTACCCGGCCTGGCACCGACGTTTCGTCAGCTGATTGCCCGGTCCTCATTACAGACCTAAGCCGACGCTCTTCCCTCCGCAAGCATTGTCGGCCGGAAGGTAAAGAGGGATGAGCATTTACAGTACACATTAAGTGTCACATTGAGATACGATTCGCATGACGTATGATGTTTTGTGGAGATGTCACATGCTGGATATGGATCAATTATCTATCATGTACTGAGTGATCCTGGAAGCTGCCACAAGATATATCAAGCTGGCACGGTATAGCAGTGTCAGCATCACACAGATTAAAAGGAATGCCCACAATGTATTTGCCTTGAGCCTAACATAGTCAGCAAAGCATGTTACAAATGCTGAAAGCAACATATCAAGTAGGTGGGAACAGCACAACTTGAGGGGAAGGCACGAGGTCAGCAGAGACCTGGGCAATATAGCAAATTATGCTCATCTGGTACTCGGAGCTCAAAGTCACGATGTGAAGGTATATTTTGAAATGTTAGACACACTCCTGCGGAATATTGGAAGTCTTGAATGCTGACCATCCTAGTTCCAAATGAGTTCTAACAGCTTTGTGGTGTTTTACCAGTTCTGCAGTGCTTTCACAATTATGTTGTATTTTATCAGTAAGGAGTGCTATGTTGTGAAATCAGTCATTCTTGCACTGAATGAAGCACTTTTCTTCATTCCATTCTGTCCAGATTCAAGCAAAGTAGAATGATCAGAGGTTGCATGTTGTACTGTCTGGTGATCAAGTGTGTGGCTATTGAATCACAAGACATGTTGTGTTGCCATGTACAAGATATTTTAGGTTTATCCTGCAACTATCACATTCCCTTTTGATTTGTCTGCTCACACATGATAAATTGTTTTTACTTATCTAATAGTATCATATGAGGCATCCATGTCATATAGTCATGTTGCGGTTGTTTTTCAGGTTGTGTTGTGTTTTGAGAAGTCATCAAAATGTTCTTTCACATTTCTCTTGAGCATGAAATTCTGCTTCATCCACGATACTTTGGACCCCAGCTGCTAGAAACTGTCAAACAAAAGTTGTTCTCAGAGGTAAGTCTGCTGTTTTCTATATAAATTATTGAAGTGCCTCTTATTGTTTTTTTAGGCACACACATTCATGTGTGTTTTATGTAACTTTATTATGCACATGGGCTTACAAGGGAAACTCTGCCCCTGATTGTTTGTGTGTTTGCTGATACCAGATCATGTGCAAAGGGGAGGGAAAAATGAGCTGGTGTGCATTGACATGTGCTTAATATGGTTTTTAACAGAATAAATGTGATTATGACAAGTTTGCGTGGAGCTTGTGTTGTTGCAGTCCTGACAATTGTTTGAGAAGCAGTGCTAAATGACAGGCATCATGCAACAGCCTTGACAGGCACTGGTGGTCGCCTAGGCCATGTCTTCTGCACTCCGCTGTCAGTCTGCTCCGCATAGCAGGCCGTCCCGTGTTTGCGTAGTCTTGTCCGGCTGACTAATGCTCTCCCTCCCCGCGCTAGGTGGAGGGCACCTGCACCGGCAAGTACGGCTTCGTCATCTCGGTGACGACCATCGACAACATTGGCGCCGGCCTGATCCAGCCGGGCCGCGGCTTCGTGGTCTACCCGGTCAAGTACAAGGCCATCGTGTTCCGGCCGTTCAAGGGCGAAGTGCTGGACGCGGTGGTCACTCAGGTGAGCTGACCTCAGCTCTCGACTGATCGACTTTAGCGACGACGCGGCTCTGCGTTCGAATCGTGATGTCTCATAGCCTTTACAAATTGCATGGCTTGAGGAGCTTCACAGAACAAATTTGAATTTGCGGTGGGCGAGATCAAGCCATTGGAGCTGTACTTGCATTATCCAACCTAATTTTCCCACCTGTAAGAAGCTAAATGTATGGGATCCTGTGAGATGACCTTTCGGGTTCAAATGGCATCTCTTTGCCAAAAGCTTTGTCTTAACGCTGTTAATCCGCAAAGTTTTGACCTCACCACAGGCCTCAGTAGAAGGCGATTGCCACCTGGTGGTTCCTTTAGGATGACTGCGTTTTGGTCCGTAGCGTTATGACCGAAGACACCGGCGGGGGTGAGAATGTGTCATGCATTTGTGTTCTGTGGGGGGGGGGGGGGGTCAAGAACTGCGTTTTGACTTAAGCATGGCTTGCTTAAGGATATCAAAAAAGAAAGGTTTGCAGTTGGTACAGTACCAAAGCAATGTGACATAGAACAATATACGCCTGAAAAAGAGGCTTAGTTGGCGTATGCACCTCAAATGACGTTATAACTGTCGAACTTTCTATGGGGCAACTTGGTGTGCGTTTTTATGTTGATATCTTACAACGGAGTTCAGTCGAATGCGTTATCTACAACAGCGGACGGCGCGAGGTTTGTTGGGCGCCGTGATAGATTTCAGAGCCGTGCGGAAATTACCCGCTCTCAATCCAGTCCTTTTCTCATATCATCTAGCTCGTAAATTTACGCTAAGTTAACAGAAACATTGAACAACAAATAAGAAATCAGGCACCGAGATACCGACCTTCCGTAAAATGAATTCTAAGCCCGCTACAATCGTCAGAAGTTTGCGGTTGTCACCCATCGCGTGTTGACCGTGGACGTTTCCGAGCTGCCCTAGTATGTCAACATTTTTCGCTTCGCAGTTTGGTCACTGCCTGCCCCTCCTTTAGTATGTAATGTTAAGGTGCTGGAATTTCACCCTGTTCTGCACCTCACAGCGTCCAGCGCGCAACAGAAGCAGTTCATTCGAGCTGCTTCTGTTGCGTGTCGCACCCAATACATATGCGTAGCCAAGGCCTCATTTAGACTGACCATGTCGTGTTATTGGGACTTGGGACGATGTTGGGACTATTGGGACGACGCTCAGCTCTCAGCAGCGGAGGCTCTGGCGTCGCCCGCCCCTGTCACCTTGGTGGGAAGGGCGGGCACTGCGGGGAATGGAACCCTGCACATATGGCTTCCTGGACGCGCGGCTTGGCCACTACACTATCGTGGTCATGCATTCAGAAGGCATTCGTGTTTACGGGGTCCCCTGTGCCAGAGACTTACGGATCGTATCAGCGAAGGCTCTAACGTGGATGGGTTCACTTCGTCCTACCGGTATGCTCACATGCCATACATACCATACATGACATACATACATACGTACATACATACATGGAACACTTCGATGGATTCAGCCCTGGTTTCGGTTACAGTATATCAGTTGTGCAATGGGCATGTATCGTAGTCATAACCATGCTACGCGCGGATCTGGCAAGATGTGTGCAGGGTTCCATCAGCAAATTAATCTTTTTTCAAGTAACCTAAAGCCTTATTGGGCGCATTTAGCGATACGTATCGCATGGACATCGGCTGAACTCCTCTTGTTTTCATTTCTAGCAGATATACTCATGTCAGCGTCTATCCCGATGCCTCAGTTAGTTGGACCACCTGCCTGGCGATTGGCCCAATGGAGCGCCTGCCAGGCGGGTTGGGTTCGAGTCACTGTTGGTGCTCGCTCTTCGTGTCTGACTGGGATATTTCGAGTTCATCGGTCATTTGCACCACATCATCGACATATGTCTGTGATGTGATGCTTAGACTTTTCGTCGTCCTTGTTTGCAACGCATTGTTATAGGCAACAGATAAGCCCTGCAAGCTCTCCAGGTAATCACGTCGTATAACTGGTCCGTAAACTCACATGCCTTCCCGTTTAACAGACAAGTGTTAAAGCTTACGCCGCTGCTCGTTGGCTAGTTCATTGGTTATTAGTATCCCGATTTGGGTGGTGGCCATTACGGGTTCACTTTCTAAAGACAGCGAGCGGTGTTTCGATACAATCCCCGTTCGCAGAAGATCGGTATTCGCGCGTGTATGTGCCGTTTGGTACGCCCTGTCCTCGGTTATTGGAGACAGCGCGAATGTTTCGTGAACTGTTACCGGCTTCCACCGAACTGCCAATTGTGTGTGTCCACCTGAGACAGCCCGCAGATGGATCTGAATCACGAAACTGTGATAAGGCTTGCTGTGATTCGACTAGGCAGGTCATCTATATAAATGATATTGAAAGAACTGAAGTCAAAAGCTGGGGATCGCTGAAAACAACACTGCGGACCACCCTTTTGAATTTCCACTGACGCCTGATTAAAGCTGTCAAAAGAACTCAAGTTAAAACCTTTGGAGCGGTGAAGACAACTAAGCGTACCACTGTTTTAAACTTCCTCTAAGGCCTGGTGTAGGGTTGGTGAGGGGTGTTGGGTCCCCTTATTCGCTGGCGTGTGATGAAGACGGCGGGAGCTAGTGGAGGTCAGTCGCGATGTATGCATTTCCAATTGGAGGCTCATTTTCGCCTAGTTTCATTGCAAAGTTCTCGGGTCATCCAATGTAGCGATATCCTTCATAGCACTCCCAATTTATCGCACCGACAAAGGTGGACACGTAGAGGCGTCACCACCGAAATGTGAGCTTTGTTTCTCTTTTTTAACAACAGGCGGAAGTGCAGTTGCCTTGACGTTTTCGCTAAAATGGTTGACTCTGTTCGAGTGGCAACACATTTCCTCCCAGGCAGCGTGTTCCACGGCTGGCACGTCCAACTGTACCGCGCCCCACCCTCCACATTTGAGTGGTACAGCGATCGTAAGATAAAGAACAGACCAAAGTCCGCTATTCTCCCCACGTTGGCCTGGTTTGACCCCGCAAAGATCATGAACAGTGGTCATACAGTGACGGCAGAACGACTGAATGAACCGACCTGTATGCACCAGGTGAAGTTATGCACGACTTTACTAATAGCTGTCGTCGGTGAGATGTTGACAGCTCCTTACGCACCGGGTGGTGCGTGTGTGGAGACGCGGCCGGGTTTGTAACACGCAGATAGTGATGTCCATGAATTGAATGTCATCACTCCTAAATTCTTCCTCTCACTCTCCCTTCCCAGTGCTATTTAGCATTCGTACAGTCGGAAGTTCCACACTTTCAGGAAATATTTAACGGGACGTTACGAAGCGCTCCGTCCCCAGATTCGTGCGACGCGTTTGTCCGTCTTTGGCAGGTGAACAAGGTGGGCCTTTTCACGGAGATCGGGCCGCTCAGCTGTTTCGTGTCGCGCCACTCGATCCCGAGCGACATGGTGTTCGACCCCAACTCCAACCCGCCCTGCTACAAGACCCAGGACGAGGATGTGGTCATCCAGCAGGACGACGAGATCCGGCTCAAGATCGTCGGCACCCGCGTCGATGCCAGCGACATCTTCGCCATCGGCACCCTCATGGACGACTACTTGGGGCTCATCAGCTAGACAGCAGATGCGAGTCGCTAGTTGGACAGCCTGGCACCGCCAGTCGCGTGGGCAAACTGTCAACAGATGGTGCGTTGTGAGTCGCACAGCACCCTTGCAGCACGCGATTTGCTGAAATCATAAGGGAAGCGTTTCCGTTTTGTGCTCGACTTTGCGAGTGTGGCGACCTGTGGCTCGCCTCGTGTAGGGGTTTGGAGGTGGGTTGAGACTGGGGTTCCGTGAAGAGTGTGGGTTGGCTCCGAGCTGTGCGGTCTGCGAAGGTCAGCGCGTGCTGTGTTGACTGGTCACACCTCCAGGGAGCGGAACAAAGGACGCCCGCCCCGAGTGGCGCACGCGTAGCAAACGTGCATTCAGCGCCGCAGGCTCCAGGCCATTGTGCATTGACATCAACATCATTTTTTACATTGTCCGCATTATCACGAATACATGCATTTTGATGGCAATGTTTCAGTTCTTGGAAGTTTAGGGAGGCGTTGGTCACCAGAAGTTACCATGATGATTCTCATGTAATCTTAAAAGGTATCTCCGGGGTGCCGGAGTGAAGTGGTCATTACGTCTGTGTGAACTCCCGGAGAAAGGGAGAGAGAAAGAGAGAGAGAGAGAGAGAGAGAGAGAGAGAGAGAGAGAGAGAGAGAGAGAGAGAGAGAGAGAGAGAGAGAGAGAGAGAGAGAGAGAGAGACCGCATTGATGAAAATTTAAAGGATGCGCTCGTCTTAAAGTGTTGCAGCGTTTCTGTACCGTGGGCCTGAATTTGGAAATTAGTCTGGCGTTATGGAACCTTTGAAATAAATATCTTTCAAACATCTCTTCACCAAGTATGTCTCACTGCGCTGCGGGCCCGTGGGGTTACTAAGAATGTGCGCGGTGTGTGGCGCTTTGACCAAGTACCCGTTAACGGCTCTCTGGACCGATGATGCAGCTTTGTTGCAGACCAGACCGGGCCCGAGGCTTCGGCGGGGTGTCCACTGAACTAGCATTTATGATGAATGATCTGAGCACTACCTGGCGTACCTCTTCCAATGCGCCCGATAAATGGCGTGCTTCGGCCGTTAAATTCAAAGCAGTTTTGCGAAGAAAAATGTTTTTGCGAATTTGAAATTGAAAAAGGTCACAGGGTCAATGTCCAAGTGTGAAATATCCGTCGGGGGAAAGGCGCTCCGCATTTCGCCTGTCTCATTCGATATTGGGGGCATGTTTCGCACCTGTGCCGAAATAAGTTCAAGCGTAATGAATAGAAATTAGACGATCGAGACGCACAGTCAAACAGCGTCGCAAACGAGCGAAATATGTGATAATCTGCGACCCAACATCGATCAATATGCAAGCACGCTGTTTTGTCAGATATTTGCGACTTCCTTGATTCATTTATCCTTCGAAGATGTCGAAAGACAAAAAGGCACTCACTGCATCGCTCCAGGCTGCGTTACGTGATTGAATTTTTGAAAAGTGAACACAAACGTCATCTTTAAATCAAAAACTTCATATTTGTGGTGCAGTTTCTAGATCAGTCAATAAGGCGGATAGGACGTCTTACCCCCGGGACATTTTACCTCACGCTCCCCTTTTTTCTTTAAGACACAAATTTTTTTCTGTGGGACCACCACACGCAGATATGGCGGTCCCAAGGGGCACAGAGGTAAAAAAGCGTCCACTCACCCACAAGCGTGGGGGACTTAAATCAATGTCTGCCCTTAATGGAAGGAGACTGAAACGCTCTCACTGTTCTAAGGTCTGTTTGACACATTCACGAAATATTGGTCGCAACGAAATTGAGCGCATTACTACACTGAAAAAGGAGAATATATTTTGGTGGCCTAGGCCCTTGTCGGCACTGCCTGTGGTTTATGAGCAATTTGTGGGCACATTCCGCTGTCTCCCAAGTTTTTGATGGGTCATTTTCATTTGTTCTTTTCAAGGTGCTCCTCACTATTACCGCACTGTCGCCTCAGCGTAAAAATTGACCGATCACTGATGATGTACTCAGCACATGAACCCTATGTCACGCCTATATGGCCTACATGACTGCATGTGTTTAAAACAAATCCTTACTTTGCTTGTGGTAAATAGTGCTGTCAGTGTCCAGACCAATAAATAAGCGACCGCTATCTGTTCCGCTATCTGACCACCGATCGCATATAAACCGGCAAACTTCGGAATGGCGTTACCGCTCTCCGTTGATATGCCTGTGGAGAGCTGCCTCGAGATGATGCAATAAAATTGGTCTTTAGGCTTGAGATGCAAAATTACCATGTATTTTGACACAACATGATACGATGGAGAACAGCATTGTCATCCAGTTCATTTGCTAAATCTCTGTTTATAATCATGTGACTAGTATCTACCAAACTCTTCGTAATATCAACAAAAAATCGGGCTGCGGGCCACCAAATTTTAGTCCCATGATGACGTCAGGTCTGCGTAGCGTTTTCCTCTATTAGCCTTGCGTTGTTCTGGGACTTCTGCTACGACCTTGTGTGCGTTCAGAACTTGAACCGTCTTGGGGTCACGTGCCGGCGGGCCCGCGTTGGTGTTGTGGACGGGGAATGCGGAGCAAAAAAGTGACGGTCTGAGTTGGATGTACGGATGGTGTCCCCAAGGCTTCTGATGTACGTACTCTTCTGCGGGATATTTGCCTCCCTCTTCTTAAGCAAGATTGCGACGTTGATCGAAACCAGCCCGGAGGTGTCCGGATCATTGCCGGACAGAATATCACCGTTGTCAAGCCTGACAGTACAAGAGCGCTTAGCGGGATGGGATAAGCCGGATCTTGAAGATGCCTTAGACAACACAGAAGATGATTTGATGTGGTTCATGCAGGTCAGTTCATACCTTTATCCATGTATAGCTGGGGGGGGGGGGGGGGGGGGAGGGCTAATTGTGTTGATAAGCTAGTGGGGTAGAGCACCAAGAAGGAAAACATATCTAAACCAATCCCTAAACTAGGCAGCAAAAGTCACTGGCAGAGCAGACATCTATGCAGACAGAATTAAAGTGCACTTGTGAATATGAGTGAACTCATGTGGAACTCATATGGTGACTCAACTCACAGCAAACTCATATATGCTTGTATAAGGATGCACTCATAAGCATGTTAATATACTGCTGTAAATGTGAGTGCTCAGAGTTTTGCACACAACCAGCACCAAGTGTAGTGCATATGGAGTTAATTCAAGGAATTAAGATGTTCTAAAAGCAATTTTAGGTGAAAACACTTCAAAATTATTTCATACCCAAAAAATGGTAAAGAATTTAGCATACTTTGACCTAGGCTGAGTGTGATGCACCTAAGTGTGAGGGTCAGTGTGCCAATTTTTTGTGGGGCTCAGCACAGTGGATACATTTTTCTGCAGACTGATCTCAAAATATGCCAAACAGCAAGTTTCTCCCTGCATTTGGCTGATCTTGCAAATTTTGGAGCCTAGGTCATCTTAGCCCCAGCTAAAAAAAAAGCTACAACCCTGCATGAGCAAAAATGTTTAGGATTTACATCATGTGTCAGTGGCTTTACTGGTTTTCATTGGATGAGGGTGGTTCAATTTGCTTGGATACATTGTGTTCCAACAGTTAACAAACTAACTTTACATGCTGCTCTAAGATTCATACATGCTTATTGTTGCTTGAAGCTATTGCCAATATTTATGTACCACCCAACTGGGAGCAGCATCCTAATCTAAACATTGGGCCAGCCTGAGCTTGGGCACATGATGCTGCAAGCAGTAAAATCCACTGTTATGGTGGAGGGATCAGCCCAGATGGAAATGAACCCAATCAAAACAATGTGCTTGTGAACATCTTAATCATATCTGCTCATAAGCAGAGCCCAAATATACACAAACCTTTGTGTCACTTTTGTGACATTTTGAGGACACAATATTCATTTTTTGTCCTTTCAATTAGGGTTGTTCCTTTTCATTCACATGATCTCATTTAGTTTCCATCAAAATGTAGTTTCCTGTTCAGTTAGGGTGGGGGAGACTTCACTCCCCAACTTTGGGACAGTTGGCCAAATCTTAGGAGAGCCCAGTCTGCTGGTTATTTTGGGATAAGGTTGTGTTATCCCTCCCTGCCCAGCCCCCTAACTCATTTTATGAAAGTATGCCTATGATCAGTGCTATTGTATAGAGGTTTTTGTTGTTTAGTGCACATGGCTTCTTTTACAGCTATACATAATTTGCCATGTCATTGCAAGGTAATGTGGTACAGCTTTTTGTCCTGGAATGATGGATAGCCTTATGAAATTTATAGGAGAATTGATTAGCAATAGTAATTGCTAAGGCATGTCAACTGTAAGGTTGTTAGGGCATACCAACTGTAGTGATCACTTGCCCTGGCATTTATAAGAGGGGATGTAAGACAAAGCAGTGCATCTCTGAGGTAGGCTCTTGGACAAGAGGCAAATTCAAGTTAGAAGAATGACTTATTTAATTGGCCCTGGGTCTGCTATGAAGATCAGACCAAGGTAAAAACTAAACTACTCTTTCACCAGACAAATTGATTTGTGGGTAGTTTTTATTATTACCTCATCACAGGGATGTCAACAGAATCTTATTTCAGCTTTTTGAATGTCATAGGTCACTAACCCAAAGTGATCTGGGTGAACCTTTTGTGTTCAGAAACATGCTGCATAACATAGTCTTTCATGCTTGCCTGTATTTAAAATGACAACAATCTTGTATGTCTTTGACTATTAGCATTCTAGTAATCAAACTAGTAGCCTTTTGCTTAGATCAGGTATCTAGAGTATGGCCAGTAGTATGATGATGGCTGGAGGTACTTCAAACAATGATCTGGGGCTTGGTCTTGATAAACCTATTTTGCTCGAAGGTCGTGACCTAGGAATCTCAAAACTTAATCCATGCAAGTTCACTTCTAAAACTGCTTACCCTGTGATTTTCTATCTCTAACTCTGTTAGTTTCTGTAGATCTTGGGTGATCAACTTGAGTCCCACTGGAGAGTGTCGCGTACAACGTGCGTGTTAAGCGACTCTGAAAGTTGGATGGACCAAACTGAAGCCGTTCAACAATGATTTTTTTTTAAAAATTGGGCTTCAATCCCTTACTCTCCCAAGCCTTACCCGATCCAAGCGGGAATGGGTTTTTGGCCTTTTTGAGAGTAAAGAACAGACGCAAAACCGACGTGGCCAGGGCAGACACCAGCGGCCCTATAATCGGCGGTGCAGTTTGGCGTTTGATTTCCTCGGAATAGGCAACTTCACTGCAGACAGTGAGGCATAAGGAACTAGTCAGGTATTCAGTGTGATCATGGCTCGTAGCTGCGAAAGTAGCGATTGGGGAAAAATTGAAAATGAGGATCGCCGTCACTTTGCGTCTCAGGACAGATCAAAGGCTGCCTTGCGCCTACGTTTCTCGTCTTTGGAGGTAACTTGGTCACACAGGTACCCCATAGCGGTGAACAGTGTCTGTGACATCAAGTATCTCAGGTTAAACGTGTCGGATTGATAGCCTCTGATGGTTTATTGTTGCGTTGTCTAAGTGTATTTTCGATGATAAATTCATCTATTGTGACTAAGGAAAACGAGGTGTCTGATAATCCATTTGCACGCATATCTTTATTAAGAATGGCATGTCGGTATGATTTTAATGCCATACATTTCCGTGCTTTCCGTTCTTTTCCGTTCGTTCTGTCCGTAGATGAATTTGTTGTCGGAAAGGCACTTAGTGCAACGTGACACAAAACTGCCGGAGGGTATAAGTCTGACGCGTTTGAACGAAATGGAATCAGCACGTTTCAACTCGACAAAGAACCGACTACCGCGCTTGCAAAACGCGGGTTATTGTGTGCGGGTGACCCACGTGCGCTGGTTCAAAACTCACGAATCGGGCAGCTTCTGGGCATGTCACAGGATTCATGTCAGATATCGGCAGACCATGGACATAACGCCATGAAGCCAACTGCATGGTGTGGGTACATGTGCCGTGTACAAACCACCCACGCCGCAAAACACTGTCCCATCGGCAGGGACGCTGGCAATCGATCGCGAAGCGACCAATGTCGTGTTTGTCGAAACAGATCTCGAAAGCAACACGCTGTCGCCCAAACCGGATGAGAGGTGCACGCAAAAATGAGAATGGTCCGAAACGTGACCCGCCGCAAATTTGTGGATTTCTTCCGAAAAAGCCCAGCCCGTTCGCAGGCCCGTCGCTGAGTATCACATGGCTGTGCAGTGGCGTGTTTGTGGTGTAGGTCCTCCGCGCGGCAGATATATTCCGCCGGCGCGGGGATGCGCACTGAGCAGCCGAGGATCGTAGCAGCAAGGGAATAGAAATAACACGCGTTTGTGCGCTTGCATTGCTGCGCTTAAAGTGGAACTATATTTGCCTGTATTTTGCACTTAGATACCAGGTTTTACCGTTGTGAAACGGAATGGATAAACTTCTTAATTGTCGCAAGTAATGCCTGATATGCCAATAACAGGTGTCCCACCTTCGGAACAGATTCCGAAAACTCGATCTGATGAACTGCCAGGACCTGTCGTTAATTTAGATAGGACTGTGGAGCAAAGCTGCATCGCGTAAAGGATGTGCGCGGATCACTTTTATATATTTTCAAGTCCAAATCTCGCGGCCAACATCTCATACCAACACCGTTTTTTCCTTCTCTTGGGATGCCCGTATGTCATGTCGTGCATGTGTATTTTTAAAGCCTTGAACGGTTTCAGCGCACGCAAGGCAGCGTTCGCCATTGTTAAGGTCATAGTCCTTTTGGATAATTGTTGGATTTTGCACACCGTATGTAAACTACGAATGAAGTCTTCCAAGCTTTTGAACAGTCCTGTTCAGCATATGATCGCTGTTTTGTTTTGTTTTGTTTTGTTTTTGGTCGATAGGTTTTTATTGGCCTGCGTAGTTCTAATAGACCACTCTGACGCGGCTTACATATTCGTAGCAGCAAATAATGAAGCCATTAGACCCAACCTTACAGCCATTACAGTCATGCAGCCTTGCACCCATACAGCCATTGGCCCCTATTTTTAAACCGTGTTGTCTACCCCAGCGAGCTCTGCTCGCCGTCCCAGCCATGGCCACCTCATCGTGACGCTTAAATGGTTATGCGTGTTCACATCCTCAGGTTATTATTACCGTGCGTGGGCGTAGTGATCACCTGACTTATTCGTCGGTCGAGATGGTCGTATTGGCAGAGACGACGCCGATATTGCAGACGCCCGAAACTCAGTGACTGTTTGGGTCGTGAAACTGGCGCCCTCGCTGATGTGCCTTGGCGCCCTCGCTGACGTGCCTTGGCGCCCTCGCTGATGTGCCTCCATTGCAGGGTAAATTAGTATTATTATTTTATTATAAATCAGGTTATTATTACCGTGTGTGGGCGTAGTAATCACCTGACATATTCGTCGGTCGATATGGTCGTATTGGCAGGGACGATGCCAATATTGCGGGCGCCCGAAACTCAGTGACTGTGTGGTTCGTGAAACTGGCGCCCTCGCTGATGTGCCTTGGCGCTGTCGCTGATGTGCCTTGGCGCTCTCGCTGATGTGCCTCCATTGCAGGGCAAATTATTGCTTAATTTGTTGTTGAACTCACACTAAAAGCCAAGATGCGCCGGACTGTAGCCATGACCATTTCAACTGCAGCCCCCCGTACCTGTCTGAACTTTGGTTGCGTTCTGGAACCCATGGTGGCGAGACAGAGTGGCATGGAAAACTTGACGGTGTGGGTTTGGAAAAGAGGGAGCGAGGGAGGGAGATTCTCCGTAATGCAAACGCATATATATATATATATATATATATATATATATATATATATATATATATATATATATACATATATATATATATATATGCACTCTTCTGTCATGGGCACCACGCACCGTACTGCACTGCACACGCAGTCCTATGTATATCCGCTGCTATGTGTTTATCTCATGAATGCTGTATGTTTATCATGCTATGTTATCTTGGCATGTTTGTGCAAGGGTTCACTATGTCTTGCAGTGTCTGTGTTAATCCAAGTAGTAATAAGGAGACAGCATTCCGTTGTTGCAAATTATTCTATGCATAATGACTATTTTCTCTTTGTTTCAGATATCTGATCTTCACATCAGTATCTTCCAAGATCCAAAGAGAATCGAACAGCTCAGGCTATTTGTAAATGAGTCCGTTCCAGTCATAGAACCAGAACTGGTTTTAGCTTCAGGTCAGGAATTGTATCAGGGACCGTTACATGTCGGTGACTTCTGTCAGATTTTGACCGTTGCGGGTCAGGCGCCATCTTTATTGGCATCCTTGTTGAGGGAACAATTATCTGCCGTCACCAGTTGTCCCTAAATTGAGGTAGAGTTACAACACAACAACCAGGAATTATCCAGTAGCTCTGAATCCAGAGATATCGGAGTTGGCCCTTTTAGGGAAACCAGTGGTCCTCCATGTCAAACCAGCGATCATCCTTGAGAACACAGTTTTTTCTCAAAGATTTATGGGCTCAGAGCTCACGCTAAGCAATGCCTGTTGCGTGAGCACTGAGCCCTATCGTTTGTGAAATAACAGGTCAACGGCGGAGTTCGAGGGCGAAAGTTTCACGTGAGGCGGTGTCTGGCACCGCCCGTCCCGCCGTTTGACGACACCTGACCTCCAGCACGGCGGCTACCACGGGCCGCAGGGCATGGCTGTCAGGGGCAGTTGGAAATGAAAAGATCTCCAGAGATCGCCAAAGATCTCTCTAGCCTTTAGAACCAAATATGCACAGTATCGTTTCTCGAATCAGACGCAACACGCAACTTCGTTAATAACCATTTGCTAGTCGAACTACGTCATCTATTGCCAATCAACACAATCAAAACATTTGTCGCAGAAAGCTGCAGCATCTGCCGGTCTTCACAGATAACGTGACAGCTCAATAGCTTGTGACATTTGACCAGTTGTATTGCGCCAAACACTTACCGTGTCGGAGATTTCGATGAATGCTTGTATGGGATTGCGTTATGCCGTGCATGCAGTTGTGCAATTTTTTGAAAGATCGGAAAGACGGTCAAGGAGTTATGGCCTCAGGCAATGTGAAATGTCATGAAATGATTGTCCTTGGATTCCTGTAGCTCATCAAGGGTCGACCCGAATGGTACAAGACTTGATATTCGCCGAATTCGTAATGGTCCTCCGCATTTCGTAGCCATTTCGATGTTTTTGTGCGCCTGGATTCTAAAATCGTAACCGGCGACACAGAATCATGTGAGCTGCTGTGTCCTTTTAGACAGTCATAGCGGAAATGAAGAAAGATAAGTTGTCTTTTGGGAGCATAAATGAAAAGGTGGTTTTTCTTCTAATCTTTCGGATGTTCGTGACATGTTTGCACGCTGAGGCGAGGGAAATAGTTGAGTTGAACACCCCATTTAAAACAAAATGTCATGAGCAATTCTTCTCTTGGAATTTTTTTTCAGGTCTTCAAATATTCAACTGTATTCTGTTTCGGGAATGCTGGTTATGAAAAGTGGCTAACGACTTAAGGCCTAGTGCCGTGGGCTGATTTTCCTGCGGTCACAGCTGCTTTTGCTGTAGGTGCATTTGGACTGGTAGTGGGCATGTATGCGCCTGAAGATGATTGATGAAGATGGCTGTAGCATGCGCGTTATGTTTCGATTTCCGTACCGCTCATTTCGATGGCAAACATGCGTGATCATATATCATCAACACTAGAGCGGCTATTTTTGTGACGTCTATGTAAAGGTGTAAGGACTGCCCTGATGAGGGCTGGGCGAAGTATTTTCAAAGGCGTGTTATCACCCACATTTACCAAAAGTGATTTTTTCTGAATAATCTGTGACATCATCAAAACATGATGTCACGGTTTACAAACAACAAACACAATATCGTCTAGCTCCATATTACAGAGGACAAAACAAATCGTTGTTCACTTGTAGAACTTGTCCGAATGAAAGAGGAAGGCGTGCAATCTCCAGGCCAACCCATCGTCATATTTGTTTCTGTTAAAAATGTTGCATGTTTGATGAAGACTAGTGGTCGAAACGTAGTATTTGATTTGACGTGCATATTTCCGTTTCTTTGCACAACTTCAGGGAGAACGCGGTCAACTTTTCATTCACAAATTAATTGCAGCAGGCTGCCCGCAACATCGCTGAAACAAGCAATCAAACACTTCTGCCTCTTCAGATACGGCGGTATCGTCGGATATAAAATGATAATTACAAGTCTAGCTCCACCAAAATGTGTAACAATCATACATACTGCGGCGTCCAAGTGGCGGTTACACATGCCAGCTAACCTAGCATCAGGTGAAGATCTACCTCTCCGGCGACTTTTTGAGGGACGTCGCGGGAGTGGAACGCAGGGGGTAGCAGAAAGTCTAACCGGCCGCCCGCCACTCCGTGGCGACCGACCAACTGTGCGCGGACGCGGGACGCGTGTCAGAGCTATCTCGGGGACAGGACACGTGCCAGCGAGAACAGTAGTGCAAGCGGTGTTCGCTGAGGTTTTCACAGTGATGGATCGTCACTGCGTGGAAGTGGCCTGACCTGTGTGTCGAATAATCTACAGACCTCAAAACGATTGCATCGATGAATCACGGGTGCGTGGTGCATTGAGCTACATTATCGTAAAGCGCTGTAGTGTAGTGATCTGTGATTATGTCGCATCGATGCAAGCGTTGCGTGGGCAAATTTGGTCATTCCGGACGCATCATGCGTGCCATTCGGTGTGTTTGTGGCAAAGATGATTACGATCAGTCGTAGATGAATGTGTGTACGAGTCAGTGCGGTTGGCCTCTTTATTCCTAGAGCGCTTGGTTCGAAGTTCCAGAAGGTTGGCACTTCAGTGGTTGCCAGTGTCACGAACACTTTGTGTTGGCTTTTTTGGTGCTCTTTTAGCGCGTCTTTATAATGCGATGTATTTTGGTTTGATTCGGAGACCAAAGTTCATGCTTCGCAGTAAAAAAGAGATTGTTTGCTCCTGCCATGTAACGAACAAATTGTCACGAGTTTTCAAAATCAAAACCAACCGTGGCTATTACAAAATTCAGCGTGCCGCACTTGACTTAAGGCGATAAGGTCTTTTTCAAAATGAGCGTGCACAAAGCAGTAATTGCCCGAAGACGTTTCCAAGTTGTGTGATAACCTAAAGGCTACATATAACTTTCATTTCTTGAAGAAACGGGTCACAAAACGTTATCTTTCGTGCTTGAAGCTTAGATGCATGGATCAGAAGACAATGCAATCTGCTTAATTTTCATAAGAGGAGGCGACACATACTCTCGCCTCTGGATAAAAGGCATTTTGGCTTTCGGAGAGTGGAAAAAGGGTACCTGGCATGTGACAAGATCGTGAGTTAAAGATTGACGTCAAAAATAATTTCGGAACAGTCCAAGGAGGCGATGGGTCATGGCGATTCCAGCGTTGCAATTCTCCGCTTTTTGAGTACTATGCGTCTTGAGCCCCATGCCTTCCTTCCCATTGTGTGCGCCCTCCCAAAAATGTTACAGGCAGATTCTGAATGATCGTGTTCAAGTTTCAAAGGCTTGCACCGTCAATAATTGTCTGGATATGAACGTTTCTGATTATTTCCCAAACTGTGATACCACTCAGGCGTAGTAACAGGCACAGGGCGCCCGCCAAAGATAGTTTCATCGCAATTCCAATTAAAATGTTTCACGCCCCTGTCAGTTTGGCGTGGAATGGGCCGCCTGATATTTGGTGGGCCTCGTAGATCTTGTTCAAGCCTTTTAAATTATTAATGTGTATGATTTGTGAGTGTTACGTACCCACCCACAAAACCGTATTTGCTTCCGTTCCATCTCTGTTAGTACCATTGCTCCAACTTATTTTTATATTCCGTTCAGGAGACTTGACAGATGCCAAAAACAGTAACAGCATTGGGTCAGCACAATACGAAGAGGAATGGAAGATTTATAAAGACATCCTTGTTGGTGGAAACGTCTTCAACAACTCATTCTGGTTGGACCTCCGCGGAAACCATGGTAAGGGAATGAAACTAGGTAAGGTGAAGTCACTAAATGGTACGTGAAACATAGTGCCTTGCATTTGTTAATAGGATTTCTTTTTCTGTGTCCTTGGCCCAGATAGAATAGCTTCAAACCCATAGTATTGTAGCATGGCCGTTGAAGATGTTTTTTTTTTTGCAACATCGTGTATGAACACACCGCCAGTATTTCAAGGCGAGTGTTGCAGTCCTGCTAGGGGACGTCAACTTACCACTCCTAGTCAGCAATGGCCATGATCCACCCATGAGTGGGCGTCAAAATCGTACAGGAACCAACGGCTTGCGAAGCCCTGTATATCAGCAGCTACCGTTCGCCCTGCTTACGATGCGTCTCGACCGTGCCGCAGACCTGTTTGTCGTGCTTACGATGCGCCTCGACCGTGCCGCAGACCTGTTCGACGTGCCGAGCGTGGACAGTCGACGCAACTGGTTCCGCGAGTACGGCGTGCAGGGCTCCGCCCACCCGCGTTCCTACCTGTATACGGCGCGCCGCGGCCGGCGCCGGTACGCGTTCGTGGCGATGGACGCCACGCTCGACCCCGGACCGCGGCGGCCCTTCAACTTCTTCGGCGTGGTGCGGCCGAGCGAGCTGGCGGCGCTGCGCGAGTACGCTCGCGTGGCGCGGCAGGCCGACCACGCCATCTGGTGAGGGCGGGGGCGGTCCGGCGGCGCCGGGTCCGTCACAGACACGCCCTGTCGCGGCGGGAGGGAGAGGGGCGACCGGTGGTTCAGGGACCAAGCCATTGAAACAGGGTATGCGCGGCATCAAACGTGACGGGGAGGGATGCGGTCGCGCTAGTCACGTCCTCTCTAGCGGTGGTACTCCGCGGCAAGTGGAGGGACGGGCGCAGTTCCCGGCTTCTGTGCGCTGCTCTTCGCTGGCCCCACCGCCGTTAAGTAAGCGTGACGAGCAGCGGCACTGGCCGCAACCCAGTCACCTTTTTATACATAACCGAGGGAACTCTACTGGACGTGACGTCCCGTGGACGGTACTCGTTCATGCCATGCGCGACATTTTGCCTTTCAAAAGACTTTCGGACACACACTGCATGATACTGATTGTTCACTTGTTCAGTGTGACTGCGTGAAATGGTCACAGCAGTCGAGGCATCTTGAAAATATGAATTAGCATCATGCGGTTGCGCAGTCCTAAACTCTTCCCGTAACCATGTTGCCCGTGAACTAAAACTATACGTGTTAAAGTGCATACTTTGTAGGCGATCACGAAAATCTTCTGACGAATGCCTGGAACTAGTTTGGTAGGCGTGACGGCCGGTGACGCTGGTCGGGACTGATATAGAATCAATGAATAATGAGTACTTTTGATGCACTTGATACGCGTTTTGATACATAATCGCATATGACCTCGTAGTGACGTCCATGCACACATGACATGGAAATGCAGTTTCGCTACCCAAAATATTCTCTAGGGAAATCGTTTTGGGCTGAAAAGTAAAAAGCGTGTTAAGACTGTAAGCAGAGCGACTCCACGCCGAAAGTGGCAGGTGCAGAGCCGTATGTACGCTGAATTCCGGCCAATCAGTATGAACGTTTGTTCCGCTGCGTTGAGAAGTTTGGAAAAGCGCGTTGTCGAAAAATGGCATTACCACATGCGATTTGCCGTTTGCAAAACGAGTTCAGTCACGAAGTATCTAGTAAAGGTTTTGGCTGCAGGTGGATACAAGGCAGATGGGAACCGCTGAGGACATAGGTTGTGATGGCGACGACCAAGGATTCCGACAGAGAAATTCCATGCAATGATGTTTTGTCTTTTTAATTGTCTTTCGAGGTCAAATCCGAGAAAATCAGCGCAGGACGCAGAAAAAACTGGTCACGCCTTATCAAGATAACAACGTTAACCGCCAAATCTTACCAGAACACGGATGGCTCATTCAGACGCTGGCCACAGGATACTGCAGGGATGTCTTATTATTAACGCGATTCCAGCGTTTGTTATTATCCAAAAAACACGTGCCCACTTCGTCACAGCATGTCTGGCGTGCGTCAGCATGTGCGGCCGTTGGCGGCAGCCGACGCCGGTGCTGACTCCGACGCTTGCGCGGCTGACAGGTTCGGCCACTACCCGACCTCGGTGCTGGTGCCCTCGGCGGAGGTGCGTCAGCTGATGACGGGCGCTCTGGCCTACCTCTGTGGCCACCTGCACACGATGGCCGGCCTGGTGCCGCATATGTACACCCGGCAGCGCGTCGGCACGCTGGAGCTCGAGCTCGGCGACTGGAAGGATAACAGGAGGTGGGCGACGGCGTCACCGCCCGAGCGCACAGCCGGCGGGTACCGGGTGGCTGTCACCGTGTCGTGGACTTTGCTGCCCGTTCATCGTGCTACCGATTCAAGAGTGATAGAATCACAGACTTATATTGGTTCCCCGCACGCACTTGCGTTCGGGTTAGATGGGGGCCCGCTCTGCCAGCTCACCGAGCGCTGTGCTGGATTGTTCGCCCCAGCCGGCCCGCATGTGGGGCGTGACGTCTCTGGCCGTGGCAGCGGGCCGGAGCGGGAGCGCGCCGAACTGGCCGGTGTGTGGGACGTGACGTCTCTGGTCGTGGCAGTTGGCCGGAGCGGGAGCGCGCCAAGTCGTCTGACGCCCGCCGCCTTGGCCGCAGGTACCGCCTGCTGGCCATAGACCGCGGCCTGCTGTCGTTCACGGACGTGGACAGCGGTGACCAGTGGCCGCTCGTGCTGGTGACCAGTCCCAAGCGCGCCCAGTTGACCATGGCCCGCAACGAGCCGCTCTGGATGATGCGCGAGTCTCCGCACATTCGGTGGGTGGGCGGCGGACGGCGAGACCCGCACCGCGGAGCCAGAGATCACCGGCTCTCCTACCAGGCGGCATGGCGGGAACGCCTTTTTGTGACGTACATTAGTTTGAGGTTCATTTTCAATTGCTCGAATGTACATGTGTGGTTGCCGAACGGACAGCACAAGGAGACAGTCTTCGCGCTCGGCATGTCTATTGCGGGTGAGCGGAGGCCGTTTATCAGCTGGTTGCAGACCAGCTAAGTTTTTATGCCGCTATGAGCGTGAAATGACAGCAAAGCATGTTCAGAAATGTGCTGTAAGCTGTAGACTGAGGTCTGCGCTGGCTGTGTTTCAACTAGGATGTTGTAGCCAGGCACTGAGTGACACGTTGCGCCGATGCTGCAGTGTGCTGGCCTTCTCCGTACACGCGGTGTCGTCGGTGCGTGTTCAGCCAAGTGACGGGGACGCCTGGGTGCCGTGCACAAGGGCCAAAGGTCCTCTGTTCACCTGTGACTGGCAGCCGGCGAAGTACGCTCACGGCCTGCACACAATGCAGGTGAGCACTCACAGGCACCCGATGTTTCCGACCGCAGGCTGCATCGCAGGCGCGGCATAACGATAGAGTTTCACTCGCCCTGGTCACGTGACGAGCCCTTGAGCTGCCGACCTGCGCGGATGCACGTGGCCTCATGCTCCCACACGTGGCTGGTGGCCAGTAACAGGCTCACAGTCCCCAGCGCGCTGCGGAGATACTGCGGCCATGTGGCGTGCTGGGCCAGAGGTACTGCGGCCATGTGGCGTGCTGGGCCAGAGATACTGCGGCCATGTGGCGTGCTGGGCCAGAGATACTGCGGTCATGTGGCGTGCTGGACCAGGGATAATGTGGCCATGTGGCGTGCTGGGCCAGAGATACTGCGGCCATGTGGCGGGCTGGGCCAGGGATAATGTGGCCATGTGGCGTGCTGGGCCAAAGATGCTGCGGCCATGTGGCGTGCTGGGGCAGAGAAATGCATGCGCTCAGGTGGCTGATGTGACGGCTTGTTGAGCCTTGCCCGGTGTCGCCGTCGGCGTCCGGCTCCGTCTGGAGCGTCAGACGGCCCGCAGGATGTCCGGCCTCTGCAGCCCGTCTGTGGACTGTCCGGCCGTGTACAGGCCGCTGCGTGGGTCGTCTGATGGCTGCCAAGGTCGGCAGATGCCGGTCGTCTGATGGCTGCCAAGGTCGGCGGGTATCTGTCGTCTGATGGCTGCCAAGGTCGGCGGGTATCTGTCGTCTGATGGCTGCCAAGGTCGGCGGGTATCTGTCGTCTGATGGCTGCCAAGGTCGGCAGGTCTCGGTCGTCTGATGGCTGCCCTGGTCGGCAGGTATCGGTCGTCTGATGGCTGCCCTGGTCGGCAGGTGTCGGTCGTCTGATGGCTGCCCTGGTCGGCGGGTGTCGGTCGTCTGATGGCTGCCCTGGTCGACAGGTCTCGGTCATCTGATGGCTGCCCTGGTCGGCAGGTGTCGGTCGTCTGATGGCTGCCCTGGTTTGCAGGTGCTGGTGGAGGACTCTGGCGGGCTCAGTCGCCGGATTTCCCACACGTTCTCACTGGACGGCAGCGAGGTCAAGTTCCCTTTGGTGGCCCGGCTGATTCTGATGCTAGACGGCTCGGCGACGGTGAGCTCGTCTCAAACACCGGCGGCTCCACGCCGGTGAACAGCGCCCAGCTTACGTGCGGGTTAACAGCGCTTCGTGTAGTGGTGACGACAGCCAGCGTGTGCGTGATGATCCCTGGGTTTTGATAACAGTTGGCAGGGGTCATGAAGCCTGACAATACCGATGCTAGTTATAATGAGCACCATCATGCGTTTGAAGTCGAATTGAACTATGCCGCACTGCAATGTGCTGATTGGCGCCGCCGGCAGAGTCAGCTGCTGTTCGCGGCAGCGCTGCTGGTATGCGCGCTGCCTCCAGGCGCGCTCCGTCTGCTGCACGCGCAGGTGACAGGTGAGCGCCCAACAGGCGGCGGGGCATCCTCCGCCGGTGCGGTGCCATGTCCGCTCAGAAAACTCCCTTTCCGCTAGATGGGGCATGCCCAGGTCCCAAAGTATATAGTGTGTGTAAATGTGCGCATGCGAACATGCAAGTTTCTACTGCGACGTTACACGACCGCGAATTGTTTTTAGACGAGGCTAAAGGCGGTGCTGTGCGGGGCGGACTTTAGGCAAAATTATGCAAATGACCTCAAACAAAACGAGCTGTTCAATCAGTGCGCTCAAAAATGGTTGATACTTTTGTGTTGGAATAAGGGCACGTTGCTGGTCGACTCCTGCTATGTTGCCGGAGGGAAGACTGCTCGGCGCTGTCGGCTAGCTCCGTTGCCGGAGGGTAGCCTCCCGCTGGCTGCTGTCTGACCCAGCGTGTCGGCCGCCGGCGCGGTGTGCTGTCACCATCGGTGCCAAGGATGAAGCCTTTGACGGCGCGGGCCTTGCGTGCCACTGCGGCTGCGGCCGTCCGCTGGCTGTGCGCCGTGCCATGTTGTTATACGCACTTCTGCACTGCGTGTGACACGCTGTTTTCGACGCCAGCGGGTACGCCCGTCATGGACTCGCGGCTCTTCCGTACATTAGGTGTATAAAGGTCACGTATATATATATATATATATATATATATATATATATATATATATGTATGTATACATTTCTAGCCTCTATTATGCACCCAGCCAGCCTTCATGGTGTTTACCTCGTGAAAGGGGTTCCCTCTCATAAGGCATAGGCTCCCCGGTTGCGTGGCGAGGACACCTGCCAAATTATGGCGTGGTCTTCGCCCATACCGTGCGTTAGTGGTCGCCTGCGGAGATGTCGGCCAGGGCGCGGGGGCCGGGGAATGCCCGCCCTTCTGTGGGAACGTCTGCTCTCAGCGTCCCCACAATTGAATGTGTTGAAAGGGACGTAGGCTTGTGTGTGGCTTCGCACACATGGCTCCTTTTATGGTTACGCGAGGTAGACAGGCAACCGTATTTACTCCGAAGCTCAGTTGGCAGCGTAAATACAGAGTATAAATAGCAACGTGCGTACACCCAAACCCGTCCGAGCTGAATTGCCGTGTGTATTAGCTGTGCGTCATATTCAGAGGAAGCTGTCTTCAGTTGAGGTTGCGCAGTCCCCGGTGTGACCGTCTTGACGCTATCCGCGCCCGGGGCGGGCCCGCCGTCTGACGCGCGCGGCCTCGTTCCGCTGCAGCCGGGCGCCGCCAGCTGCCGCGGCTGGGCTGGCGGCCGCTGCGCCGCTGGCTCCGGCGGCTCACTCTGTTCGCCAGCGTGGACCGTCTCTACTGGCCGCACGTGGGCATGCTGCTCTACCTGCCCGTCGGTGAGCCTGCCGGGCTGCGGCGCGCTCCGAACTCCGACAGAGGCGCGGCCGCGTCTGCTGCCGAGGGCGAGGAGTAGAGAGCACCGGTTCTACACTGTAGACCGCGCCCATCTGGCGGGGCCAGCCATCGCGTGCAGTGGTGGGGGCAGAGAGACTTCGGGAGCTGGCTGATGTCTAGATGGATGCCAGGTCGTCTGTCTGCTTTTCCAGCCGTCCGTCTGTATGTTGCGGCGCGCGGTGCCGCCTGGCGTAGCGTCTCCTCGCATTGTTTTAAACAGACGCAGTATTTCAGTACTAAACACGGAGACAGCGTTGCCTGGCGCCCGCGCCAGCCCAGTGAGCCCCGCGTGTCCGTAACTGGCGGTGCCGGCCGCCGCGCCGCCGGCGAGTGACGGCCGGTGTAGCGCCACACCGCTCGCCAGGTCCGTGGCTGGCCGGCGAGCCTGGCGCGCCCGTAACTGGCGGTGTCGGCCGCCGCGCCGCCAGCGAGTGACGGCCGGTGTAGCGCCACACCGCTCGCCAGGTCCGTGGCTGGCCGGCGAGCTCATCACCGGCCAGATGGGCGTAGTGTTCGCCTGGGGCTCGCTGGTGGGCGGCGCCTTCCTGCCTGGCCTGCTGCAGTACGTGTACGGCATGGTGCAGCTGCTGCTGTTCCACCTGCCGCTGATGCTGGCTACCGGCTGCCTGCTGGATTGCAGGTGGGTACGCTGCTGTCCGCCGTGTCATCCGTGTGGGCCAGCAGCATTGCTCTTTTCCATGCAGCATGTGCGGGGTATTGTGGACCGGCTTTCATAACGGCTTGGTCTGCGGGGTATCGACGATAAATGGACTTTTTTTTACTTGACTGATGTGAAGGCCAATTGTGTGGGGCGCAGCTGGCCGAGTTCTGAAACCAAAGAGCGACCGTGTGTCCTGTGCAACCTGGCTGAAAGGTGTGCCGTTGCGATCTGTAGCGCCCCCTCGCGCCTGTTGTGGGTTTGGTGAAGGCCGATGCGCTCTGCTGGTGGTGGTGGGGGTTGTGGTGCGTGGCAGAGTGTGGAGCCTCTGCTGTTGGCAGGCTGGACAGCTTCTGGCGGCCGGAGCGGTTCTCGCGGCGACGTCTGTGGACCGCGCACGCCGCTCTCCTCATCATCTGCCTCATCCAGCTGGCAAACGTAAGGACGGGGCTCCACTCTGTCACCGCCGCGGCGACCCCCAGGGGTGGAGCGGCAGGGGCCGCTGGTCAGCGCCACCGCTGCTCCATCACCGCCGCGGTGGCCCCCAGGGGTGGAGCGGCAGGGGCCGCTGGTCAGCGCCACCGCTGCTCCATCACCGCCGCGGTGGCCCCCAGGTATGGAGCGACAGGGGCCACTGGTCAGCGCTGCTCCATCACCGCCGCGGCGGTCCCCAGGGATGGAGCGGTGGGGGCCACTGGTCAGCGCTGCTCCATCACCGCCGCGGCGGTCCCCAGGGATGGAGCGGTGGGGGCCACTGGTCAGCGCTGCTCCATCACCGCCGCGGCGGTCCCCAGGGATGGAGCGGTGGGGGCCACTGGTCAGCGCTGCTCCATCACCGCCGCGGCGGTCCCCAGGGATGGAGCGGTGGGGGCCACTGGTCAGCGCTGCTCCATCACCGCCGCGGCGGTCCCCAGGGATGGAGCGGTGGGGGCCACTGGTCAGCGCTGCTCCATCACCGCCGCGGCGGTCCCCAGGGATGGAGCGGTGGGGGCCACTGGTCAGCGCTGCTCCATCACCGCCGCGGCGGTCCCCAGGGATGGAGCGGTGGGGGCCACTGGTCAGCGCTGCTCCATCACCGCCGCGGCGGTCCCCAGGGATGGAGCGGTGGGGGCCACTGGTCAGCGCTGCTCCATCACCGCCGCGGCGGTCCCCAGGGATGGAGCGGTGGGGGCCACTGGTCAGCGCTGCTCCATCACCGCCGCGGCGGTCCCCAGGGATGGAGCGGTGGGGGCCACTGGTCAGCGCTGCTCCATCACCGCCTCGGCGGTCCCCAGGGATGGAGCGGTGGGGGCCACTGGCCAGCGCCGCCGCCCGCACGTCACAAGGCCCCTGAAGGGTGCGGTTACCCTGTTCCGTTGCGTCCAGGTTCTGGTGTGTGGTTTGGTTCCGTCTGGTCATAGTTCACTCGCTTCGCATTCAAGCATGGGTGAGCTAAACATCAGCAAACCTGAATGTAATACTTCTATGAACACCTGTTGGATCTTGCGTTGATGACAACATACGAAGCGTGGATAGAAGATGATCACCCTACCCTGCACTAGGCCTGGGGAACTATGCAGGGTAATGAACATGGGAAGCCTTCGTATTCCCGCAGCCAACGTTTTGATATCATAAATCACATGGGGGCTCCATATCAATAATTTTTGCCGCGCATTAGGGTTCAGTTACCATCGCCACCGGTCATAAACGATATTATGCTCTAGTGAGTGAAGCTACCAGCCGAGCGAACCTGAGCTGATCCATCTATGATCAAACAGTTTCAGCTGGAGCGGTCCGGTTTTCACGTCTTCCGATGGTCGCAGATTCGTTACCACTGCTCGCAGCCTAGCGCAGTTTGCAAACGCAATACTGAAAGTGTTGTGTTCAAGTGCTAGACGTTTGCATGCAAGCTGTTTGATTAAGCGGAATCTGCCGGCAACATTGCCGGGCCACAATTTTATCCCCTGCGTTCGGGCGACATGAATTCCGTTAAATTTTCCGGTTGCAAGAAGAAACGGATCGAAAATAGCTTGAGGTCTTGACGATCCGGTGTTGCAGCGACACGGCGCTCTAAGATCCGAACGGCGGGGAGAGCGGACAGTCACAGCGGTGAAGTGCGGGCGTTGTTCGCTGATGGTCACGCCCTCCCATGTGCGCACCATGGGTCCGCTCCTTTGGGACGTGTTTGGGGCGTAGATGAAGTGGTCGGATCTCGACAATGGGTGCAGATGAAGACGTGAAGTCAGCAGCACGGCGGAAGCGAGCGTGTCGGATGTCCCGCGCACTGACGGGGCCCGCATCAGCTGACTGACCGCAACTGGTGGCGGGTTCCCCCCCCCCCCCCCTCCCTGGCTAATTCGGAGCAGAAAAAAGACAGAGGCAAATCAAACGTCGTTAGGTAGGTTGAAAATTCTGACGATTTTTTGCACTGTCATTAATTTTATGTTTAGATGATGGTCACGTGAGGTTGTCTTTCATTTCTTGTAAGCTTCATGCAAGGTCATATGAGGTCTCTCATTTCTTGTAAGCTTTATATAGCTAGCACGCCAGCCGTCTTCGCTATTTAAATCTGTTAGCAGCTGGATGGTTTGGCAAGCCAGAGTGCTGCATTCAATGCATTTCATATGCTTATGATGGTGTTTGGCCTAGTTCATCCAGTTGTCAAGTCAGCTGCATTTCAGGCTCAACCTAGACCAGTCACCTATGATGATATTTCGCTGTGAAATATGATGCCGGGATGTGGAAGAAAAAATGTGGAATCTAAAGAAGAACGACAGAGAAACATGTTGATAAATGCCTGTTATAAAAATCTCCCGAGGGCAACTTCGATTAAGGACGTAGAACTATTGGGACTTTTCTGGGTGCATGCACGGGCAAAGGAAGGAGCGATTATATGAAGACTAAAATGGAATGAAATCGACATCTGCAGGTATGGGGCATGTCATCAAAGACTTAATGTAGCTGTCAGCTCAGGCAAGTGGTCTAGGACGACATCGGATTGCCATTTATAAATCACGTTGTGGCATCGTGATGTAGAACACTTATTTGGACGAAATTATAACCGCACTAGAAACAATAGTGAATGTCATACTCTTCCACCCATCTTGGTCCGATATTGCTTAGCTTAAGCCCACCTAGGTCATTGACCTGACCTGACGTGGAGCCTAAACTTTCTTAATACCTTTGAGCTGATTTGAGTGTACGAAAAGCAGCAGGAGGATAGAGCGAGCATGAACTTCAAGAAGTGTCAAGGATAGCGAGTCGTTCTGTAGCCATTCTCAGTATGTCGCAGAGGGCCTCCCTTGCTCGGTGCGAGGGCATAAACCCATTCAACAGATCTCAGGTCCGCCGTACTCATAGGTGGGCGGGTGACCGGCCTGCTAACGGGCGATGCTACCTAACCCATCCGACACCGAGCTGTGATGCGGTGCGCTGCGGCCTGAGGCAAGAGATTGCGGTATGAAAATTGCACAGATGTGTTCATTGCGATCATTACCGTCCAGCATATTTGGGTTTTCCGCAATATCTCGATCACCAGTTCGAGCCCGTCATTAATCATCTGCGCGGCTATATAGATATAAAATATGAATATATAGAGCTATATAAATCAAGCCTTGAATTTCTGTGGTGTACCAAGTCGCCCGGACTGGTCGGACCCATGGCCAGACAGTCCTCAAACATCGCTTGTGGGCTAGTAGGCGAATGATACACCAATGGACGTCTGCGCTTAAAATTCCCACTTACCCCAAACTTCTTAATGCATGCATCAAAACTCCTTGTGTCGGAGAGTATTTCCAGAGGAGCATGCCTTCATTAGCTTAATTGTTTTTGCAACATCTTCACCACACCTGGTAACTCACTGTTGTTGTCATGTTATCGCCCGGCTCATCCCACGCCGCGTGAGGCTCGGCACTGGTTTCAGCCAGGTCACGTGGGAAGCCCAGTGCGGCTTTGCACCGATCTGCGCTGATCCCTCTGTCGTGATGTAATCGGAAGGGCTGGTCAGACTCTTGATGGTGGTAGCTGGTAATCACTACTTGTTGCTGATTATGCTGCAAGACGAGATCTAAGTGGCAGGCTAAGAACTGCCTTGGTCACTGTGAATAAGTGAAGTGTGTACGCTGCCGGCTCCATCAGCCGCAGGTGCCGGGCGTCGGTGTGGCTGGACGGATGGTCCGGTCCGGTCCCCGGCCCCTGTCCGGTCAGCCAGGCGCCGCACCAGAGGACGGCCACGATCTGTCGGTAGCCTGATGCTCCGTCCCCCTCGCAGGTGTACCTCTTTTATCTGTCCTACGACCTGATGGCCACGCTGCTTGGCCCGTTCCGCACGTGGGCTCTGCTGGTCGGCCTGCAGATGTGGTATAGCGCCGCCACCCTGCCCAAGGCATCTCTCAGGTAAGACCGCGCCCTGCCAAGATGCCCAAGGCATCTTTCAGGTAAGACTACGCCCTGCCACCCTGCCTGAAGTGTCTTTCAGGCAAGGCTGCTCCCCACCACCCTGCCCAAGGTACCAAGTGAGGCTGCGCCCCACCACCCCGCTCAAGGCGTCTCTCAGGCGAGGCTGCGCCCCACCACCCTGCCCGAGGCGTCTCTCAAGTGAGACCGCGCCTCTTGAACGGCGCGGCATGCCGCTCCAAACTTAGTACGGCTGTTTGGTTAAATAACCGATCTTTCGTTTGGAAATTGGACGGGCCGTGTAAGGTTGCTTACCTATGGCAGCTCAAAGCTGTTACCGATGTCATTTACTTGGGAATCATTAAATGTGATATGGCAACGGAGCGTCAGACGAGATTATGCAGCTTTGTGGTGTTTTTTTTTTTTAGGCAATTAGACAGTTGAGATTAGAAATGAGGCTAATTACATTAACATTGGGTCAGGTATGAAGGTCAGATTAAGGTCAAAACCAAACTGCTTTGTTACTGCAAATCATGTTTCGTGAGGTATTTTTAAGGAGCATTTCGAATTTATGGATCAGAATGATGTCACAATATTATTTGTGTTGAGTTCATGAAGGTCAGGAAAGTCCCTGACCGAAAATGAGTTTATCAGATATTTTCTTTTAGGAGTGTGCCGTCTAGGGTGGTACTTATCGCCTGTTTTAAATCGAACTATCCGAATTTTCCTGAAATTTGCCCTGCCATTTTACCTTCTGAAAGCCAAAAAAGATCACTGTACTGATTTGAACACCTTGGCATTTTGTTAAGATCTTTCTCCGTTAAAGCTGGTTGCGTGAAGAGATCTGATTGCGTTTCGGACACCGATCTGCAGTTGATATAGTTTGACCTTATTTGACCGGAAAGTCTTGATCTCGCGACATCCAAATTTGGCCCGCAATTTCACATAGAAGCATGTAACCCTGGAATTTTGGTGATCTTTGTCTTGTAGTTTTCAGATAGGGGGTAAAATTGAAACCCCTAACCCAGCCCCAGTGAACGCGTCACATTCAGCCCGCCATCCTGCCGTATGTTAAGTGGGACTGATGCAGCTGTACATAGGTGTATGATAGGCGGTACGTGCCGTGGACTTCGGTTTAGGAATGTACTGTGCTATGTATGTGCTGCAAATGTTGGAGTGAGGATTGGTGCCCCATTGAATTGAGATGGCCTGACAGTAGTGTAGGCTGGTTTCGGTTCTTTTGATTATCAGAGTTTGCCCTCAATGCAGCATATAGTTTTACAGTTGAAGCCTTGCTGTCGTTATGTGCTGCTTGTTTGTAAACGTGAACGTAAATTTCTTATTTTTTTCCATATGTGTTCTCAAGTTTTGTCTTGTGTTTTACTAACGTCGGATCCGAACCTGAGATCAGCTCCCTGCTCCGACCCATAATGCTACAGGTACTACAGGTACAAGCGACTTCCGTGCGCCCCTCGGCATTGCCTGCTCCTAGCTTACAGCCATGCGTCTGCTCTATTTTGCAGGCGTGCCGCTGCCATCTGGCTCACGGAGCCTGTGGAGCGAACAGCTACTGACTGATGGATGGCACTGAAAGCATATCAACCCCAAGCCGTGTCTGCGTGACGCACACATCGTACTATTATTATCCTGTGATTTGTGGCCAGATGGCTGAGGAGAACTTACCGGCAGATGAGTAATCACCGCCGATTGTGGACCGATGACGGATAGTGTCGCACGCCGCAGGGTCTGACAGCTGTCAGCTGCCGGTTGTGGGTAGAAATGTTTTGGGCGGTTGGACACCATTTCTTCGGTGGACTCATTGTGCTGTGTGGCTTAGGTCCATTTCATTGCGGTGACCACGGGTCTGAGGATAAAATCGTATGACATAATTTATTGGTTATGTATTTAGAGCACTTGTATGCGTGCTGCAAAGTCCTCGTAGCTCGTGAACAGTTTGTTGGATTCTCAAGACGCTTGTAGAGTTGTGTTGGACATATTCCATCTCAGACGTACCGCAGAAGGCAGGTGTTGATCCACATGGTGCGAGATGAATATCACTGAAATATGTTGCCTAGGAATGTTTGGGTGAATGCCAGCATAATAACGCTGTTGACTATTGTCGCCGTGGCCTATGTCCAGTAGACCGTTGATATCTGAGGCTGCATATGGACTATCCTCGCTCGATTGCCGCACTTATCAGGTGGAATGTGTTTTGAAGCTGTGATGACCGGAGGCAGTGGGGTGTGTGCCGATGTGTTAGCGCTGTATGATATGCGTACCAGCGCACCACCAATGAGACCAGGCCTCCGGACAAAGCCTGTTTTAATTAAAACTAGAGATCTGCCGCATGCCACGGCCTGAATTTTCTCACCACAGAAATGACTATTTTAGTTGTTGGGCGTTCTTTAAGCTGAAAGCCTCCATTCGCAATTAAGAACCTTCTGCCTGTCTCGGGAAAATACAATAAAGAACATTGCACGTCTTTGTGAGCCAAATCGCTTTGGTTTCGGCGTGCGCTGTACGACTGTGAACTGGTGTACATTTCACCAGCCGTCGATGTGTCGCCATGTCGTCTGCGGTCGGAGCAGTCGTGTCGTCATTGCCTCCGACCTTTCTGGCGATCTCACCACCTCCGCAATGCCTCGGTGCCGCGCAGTTCCAGTCGGATTCACAATTCACAGTTTGTCGAATACTCCCTGTTGCGACGTCAGCGAGAGCGCCAAGTATCACTGAGTAAGTCATACGCACATATAACCACCGCGATCGTTCTCATCTGCGATCTTACAATGCGTACATTGGCACTATTCCCGTGAATGGGCGGTCTCCTACAAATGAGGATCCCGAGATTCACCCTTTCCCGCGCAGCAAAGCGAATGTTTTCCGCGACATGACTACCGCTCAACTTGGTGCATCACGCACCCAATTTTCCAATCCTTTATGTCTTAAAAAAACGGACCTCGCCACCGATGTCATCGGCGCCGCTCATCAATCTCCGTACCAAGCTTCAGCACGCATGCGCACTCCTTAAGGTCGTGCATACATGCCGTGAAAATTTCAGGCTCTTACTGCCCTGTTTATCCTGCACAGGGGCCGGCAAGCAAAAGAAGGCAGGCAGACATACTAACGGAGACGCACATTTGTGTGTTAAGTATGCGATATGGCTGCCTCGTTTGAACACGCGACCAGTACAGGAATGCTGTGCGCTGCCACAGCCTAGCCAATCATAGCCGACTTCGATCTGCAGTCAGAGTTCAGTGGTTCTGACGAAGGCCCCTATGTCTGAAGTTATTTAAAAAAAGTTGGGAAGTGAATGTTGTTTGCAACTACCAGCATGACAGCAAGGTCGGCGAAATACGGATAGTTTGTTTTGATGTCCGGCATCCGACTGTCCCCAAATCATCTCCCATCCCCAGCGACTTGCTCTTAAAAAGGCTTTTCTAGAGACACACCCCGTGGTCTGCAGATGCTTATGTGGAATTTGTTGATAGCAGGGACGGCGACAGGCATGTTCCTTGGGCTTCTTGAAGGCGTGAAATGGCCATTGTGGTCAACGCGCTTTGAAACACCATTGAACAACAAAAATAACGGCCTCGTGAAGGTCAAAGGACGTCACTGAACTAGATAGCCCAAACATCAAAGGTCTTGTAGGTTTTTGTTCACCATGACATTCTTGAGGTCAACCAAGGTCACTGGCCTGAAATGGCGAGCAGTGGCCCTTTTCCTCGGAACAGGCCTGTAGGTTCAAGACGGTTGCAAGAGAAGGTCTAGGACTGAACACTATGCGGAGTTTGACGTTGTTTGACCAAATTCAAACCGAAGGTTATAAAGCTAGGAAACCCAATTTTGACACTAGTGTGTCCACATACAGGCCTACTTACCCCATGAATTCGGTGTCGAGCTCTCTTAGTTTTTGAGATATCAAGGATTCCCAGCCCCCCCCCCCCCCCGACCACTACGCACTACGACTTCTACTGTTATATATACCACTATATACTACTATTTACTATACACTACATACTACTATATACTACGACTACGCACTATTCAATCGGCCACCCGGGTCCGTGTTTAAGACTTGAAGACATAAAAGTTTCGGCTTTACAAGCATGCCATCAAGGCAAGCCTTGGAGTCATCCAAACTTTTGTTAGACATTTTTTGCAATTTTTCAACACCCTTCCCACACCAGTGCAGTCACGCGCAGGTTGGTATGGAAGCACCCCTCCCCCTTCCCCCATCGCTACGGGGTTGCGCTGTGTTAGCGCAATGTCCCAGAAAGATAACGTCCGTTTGGTACCGAATGGAGCTGGAGGTGCGGGAAACAAAGCTGGGCGTATTGCTTGTGAGGAGAGGAAAGAGACTGTTTCCAGCCTTTAAGATTTCAAGCCATCTTTTTTAAGGCGCAAACTCGACTTCAAACCACATCTGTGTGTAATGGCGTTGTCTTCATCTCTCTTCCCTTGTTACGTTTCGGTTACACCCATAGGCGGATCCTTGGGGGGGGGGGGGCACAGGGCCATGACCCTCCAAAACCTCTGTGAGTATGTTTTGCCCCCCCCCCAAAAAAAGCATTCCCAGAATTTCATAACGGTTTCGTCTATTTACCGTCTGTTTTAACTTTAACTGTTCTAACTGTTTTGTTTTAACTTCTGCTTAAGATTCAAAAGCACTTCGGTGCTTTTTTCGGTTTTGAGTGGTGTCCGTACTAGGTACTCGCGAAATGCACCATGCACTGGACCTCGGATCACGCACCAGCCAGCTGGTGACGAACGATTGCCCCCCCCCCCCCAAAAAAAAAGCAACTCCAGGCTAGATCCGTTCCTGGTTACACTCCATCAACCCTCTCTCCAGCCTTAATAATTGGACGGTTGCTTACACGGGCGTAGTTTCGCAAAATAAGTTGCGGGGGGGGGGGAGGGACGAGCAGTGGGGAAATGTTGCAGCCTGCCCACACAATATAACACTTTTTGGGGTTCTCCTCGGATTTGGCCCTTTTTTCTCAAAGTTGGGGAGGCCAGATTGCTATGGCTGGAGCCCACCCAGCGGAATAGGAAACTTTACCCTGCCAAGATATGAAGGCATTAACTGCTTTATTCCAAACAACCCACCAGTTAGTTTGCACATTTAAAAGAAGCCTGGCCCACTTTACCGATATTAACGCGAAAATACCCTGGAAAACCTTCCACTTGTCGTACCGTCAAAACAGGGCCAGCTGATTGTGATAGTTGATCAGTGACTCAGTAAACACACTTGCTGATTTGTGCAGACCTTGCGCTGTGCGCAATGTGGCGTGCGTGCGTGTGTTCATCGGGCGTCTGTTTCGCTGTGAGTTGTGTGGGAGGGCCTCACGCTGGTGTAAGCAGTTCGAACCAATTAGCGCTACGCTTTTTGTTACTAGCATGTATAAACGAACATCGTCTCTGTTGTTCCACGCGTGGAACCTCTTTTCATCTGAATGGATGGTGTGTGCATACGCTAAGTTTGATCTGAAACTGGAAGCGTTCTGCTCTCTGATGGAATGAATGTTTACCATGTAAACAACCTGTGAGATATACCATGTGTTCCAGTTTTTGATGTTTTTTCAGTTCAGATTATACTGAGGTGGAATATTTATTGATATCCTTAGCCTAGTGTGGTAAAGGTATTGTACAACAAATTTCATGTCTTCTGTGAGGAAGTGGTAGTATTACAGGCTAGGCAACAAAAGACACATACTATACTGATGTTGTCTGGTGTGGCAGTGACATCACAGCAATGGTGTTGGTGCATGTGTGCTGTAAGGCTGAACTTGAGTGTTCAGGGCACCAGGTTTCCCTATGGTGGCCCTGGGTTAAAATCTTGGTTGCTCCAGGGCCCCTGGGTGCTAATGTGGCTGATGCTCTGGCTGGCACTCCATGTAAGGGGTATAGAAATTGCCATGTTGTTTGTTGTAAAAACAACCTAGTTTGAAGCATGCCTAGCACTATGTTGTAAAAACAACTTAGTTTGAGGAATGCTTAGCACTAGTTTCATTGCATAGCCAATGTTATGAGAAATTGTGATGTCACAAAGGTAATTTAAGGCTGAAATATTCTGTAAATGTTTTTACTGCAAAATACTATAAGAATTCAGCACAGTTTGGCCCAAAGTGAGTTGGGTGCATATAAGTGCAACATTGAGTACATTGCTGCTGTGAAGCCCTTAGGTATATGGTGCAGTGATAGTTTTTTTGCCTTTGCAGACTGGATTCTACCTTTCATGTTGTAGTAATCACATTTTTAAGGACCACCATGGCCTTTGCATCTGATTTCATCAAGCTCAACTCATTTTTGGGTATCATATGCTGACTGATGTCCCAATAATGATGTTGACCTGGATGGGAGCAGGGGTGGTAAGGTTTCCAGCAATATTTTCTGACAAATAATTTTTACTTGGGCTATTCTATTGATTACACCTAGTACAGCAGATTGGAAAAGTTGCAAGTACATTGCATTGACAACAAAGTGTTTCGTGACATGTTTTTTGTGATGCAGACTCAGTATTTAACATTGCAACATATGTTTCATAAATACATGCTAACAATTTATAACTAAAGCTGCCATCATGCATGGCAGATCTGGCTTGCTGTTATTTGTTGCTGGCTTATCTGGTTTAGCACAGGCAGCCACAAGCTAAAGATGTTAGCTTTCACATCATTTCCCAGCCAAGCACTGTACTTTTAATTGGTAGACATCTTGCTTATGGGTTTTTCAAGAGGCTTCTTGGAGGACTCTGGATGGGGATGAAGCTAGCAGTTAGGAGTTTAGGCCAGTGTAGTGTATTTGGTTGTCAGAAGGCCTTTGCTCCTGTGCAGAGCTACTTGCATGCTTTTTTGCAGCCTTTTAGGTGGTTTCACCTCATATTGGCACTTGCTCAAGGGTAATGCGGGCTGCTCCACTTCATGAAAAGCTGCCCCAAATTTCATGCATTGATGAAACTCCCCCCCCCCCCACAAGGTCCAGCAAATATCTGTCATGCTTTGCACACTACCCTCTGGGTGAATGACAATATGTACTCACATAGATGGGCATGCATGAAATAGTGTTTGCAGGAGACCCATTCCTTGTCAGAGCTTTGCAAGCTGTAGATCAGTCCATGCTAATGGTAAGGATGCTATTTTACTCATTAGCTGTGTGTTTTGAATATGCCAAGTAATGATATAGTCTACAAAATAGGAATTAATTGTTTGGTTATGCTGTGTTCTTGTGTGTACCTGAATGCATCAAACAATAGAAATCTTAACGCAGGTCTCCCGGTTCTAGGCATAAGCAAGTCACTTGAAGCCAAGAGATGCATATGTAGATGTGCAGTCATCCTTTGGATCATCATTTGACCTGCCATTAAGCAAGTAAATAATAATTCAATGGAGTATTTCCTATAGAATAAATATAAAGATAATCAGTTCCAGGCAAGCACAGGAATGTACACCCAGCTAAATACACAAAGAAGACTGCAGAAGTTGTCATCTGATGCCCTTTGACTGGAAGAACAACATGTGAGTCAGACCTGGTAAAAATGATAAACCTTAGTAGTTGGCCCCAAAATGTGTATGTGCTGGGTTGATTCCTTGTGGTGGATGTCTTTCATACTAGGATCAGAGGGAAGTGATGGCATTTGGCCTCAGCAGCTGAGTGTGTTGCAAAGCCCCAATGACTTGCTGAAATGTGTATGTGATAAAGTGCACAGGCTCATGAGCTGGTCAAGATTTTGATCATGTGAAAACTGGGAAAGTTTGAAGTGGTGGCCAAAACAGATTGTTTAACTTGTGTTGCAGTGAGTTTGGTGCTATTGGTGATTGCTTAGATACACTTTACTCATCACTGAGCACAGTTTATGAATGGGCCAGGTCATGAATTGTGAAGTGTCTGTAAACAAGCTTTGAACATTACAAAATTATTACATATTGCAAAATTAACACAGAAATGTTCCAAAGTTTGTCCAGCCTGGCTGTTTGGTCTGTGGTGTGAGCAATGAATAGGTCAACATGGGCACTGTATTGCACAGTTTTGTTGAAACTTAGATCCACACGGTACATGTTCCGCACATTGACTACACCATATGTATAGTTTTGCAAGCAGAGCAATAAAAGGGGAAATCCACCTGCGCTAGTGACTTCATTGCTCATTCTCACCCAAGCAAGTGTAATACCTAAATGATACCAACACCTAAGCGAAGGACTGCGCTCATCAGGCTCCCAGTCAAAACACTATGCTCTCGCAAAAGACCTCTGTGTTCTTACAGTGCTACAATAGGTGCTTATCAGCTTGGTTCATGATTTGCAAAATGCGCATTCATCAGTTGAAAACTCCTTGGTATGGGTTCTTCTTCTTCATAGGCAAAACTATATGTAATATTTACAGCTGAAGCCAACCTAGCTTGAAATTGTTTGTTAGCTTAAAGAGCAAAGTGGAAGATTTTCCCAGTCTGTATCGGTGTATCAGTTACATCCTAGTCCACCTGACCACTTTCCTTTGAACCCTGTTGGGTGTTGTAACTTGTACCAGCTTGAAGTGGATAATGTAAGGAATTTGAATATTTGTCACGCCTTCGTTGCATCACAGTGTTTGCTTGCCAATCTTCATTCTCCATTTTCTTGGGATGCTACACTGTATGCCTTGCCATTTAAGAAAATAGGATATGTGGGTTTTTTGTGTCCATTTGTTGATCGTTTGATCAATGTCTTCCATGTTCTGATAGTTTCGGTCCTAAATGAGCTGCAATCGCGAGTCTTTACTTTTAGACAGGCTGCAATGTGGCATGCTGATTTTATATGTGGTGGTCAATTGGCTCCGTGAATACTTTTCCATTTTTGCCGCTATTTGGGCGTCCATGAACTGTGTGACTCATGTTAGTTTGAGACTGCATTCGTTTCTACAGCAGGGATTTGCATGCCACTCTAGAAAAGCTTTAAGTGCTGAAATTTAAACTTTGAATTACTTCCCATCTGAACTTGAAAATTGTGCGTTCCACCTTTTTAATCTGGTCAACATTTTCTTCAATGTATTCCATTTCGTAGATACGCTGCCGGTCCTTTTCGACAATGATCATCCACCCAACTGTCGTTGTCAAACTGTCAACTGTCAAACAACTGTTGTCCGGGTCAGTCGTGATTCCAAGAAGACGGAGAGAAGGTCGTCCTCAGTTGAATTAAAAGTCCGGACAGTCCTCGATTCAGTTTCTTTGTCTAATCCACGTGGCGTTGCTGTTCTGCTTGCTAAGGGAGTCCGGTAACGCTTGCAAAGCGCAAGGCGGCTTGGGAGGCTGCCTCCAGCATCTCTTGGGAACCATCCAGCATCACGAGAGTATCGTCTGCGTAACTCCATATCTTATCGCGAGATTGTTGAAGGCCCTTCACCCGCTCAGCTGTCCCGATGTTTTTTCTGCCAAGGGCTCGGTGTAAAGTAAAAACAGCGTACAGACCAGCGGCAGTCCTCTCTTAGCGCACGTTTTACGACGTATGGTGCCGACAAATTCCCATTTATCTGTGCCCTTTCAGTTACCACGTTGGGGTCATGTCATGTGAGCACCCATTTTGGCCACGCACGTCCCTCGCTGCCAATGATGGCTCAAAGATACGCCCAGTTCATAGAAGTGCAGGCCATTCTCCAGTCACGGAACCAGTCGGGACACGTCTTTACGCTCCTGTTATGTAGGTCCAAAATGAGCATAATAGTTTCCCCGATGAGTCCTCTCTTTAATGGATCCGGTTCGGCCTCGGTTTACCAAGGAGGTGATAACTGGCTTCCTTTCAGCTGACGGCTTTTGGGATTATCTTAGAAACATCGTTGAACAAGCTAATTGGGTGTGAGCATTCCATTCTCGTTCTATCATGCCCTTTGTTCGGGATATGGGTAGTAATGCTTACATCCGTCTTTGGTGGTATGCGTCCTTCCCTTTCAATCTCGCTGACGGTTGCAAGTGGAGGATGTTTCAGCTCTGGCCAAAACACCGTATAAAATGGGCGTGTGAAGCTGTTTGGACTTGCACTTTTCGTTGAGGACAGATTGTTTTAGCTCTAATTCGGATATGGGACTCTCGCACTCTTCCTGCCGTTGAATGTCTAAATTGCACATGCTAACTGAATGCTCTGTATCGATTACGTCCGCCTGCTGCGCGGAGTAAACACTCGTGGTTGCCCTTACTGGCTCCTATGAGCATGGCCAATGAGGTCAATGTGGGTTTTCAGTAAGGAAGGGGAGAAGAGTTAGAATGTAAAAGTAAAGTAGGGGTAAAGTAAGAAACGGAGAATGAGAAAGGATTAAGGTCTCAGCAACCTAGGTTGCTGCAACTGTTCTGTCAGTTGAAGCGCCGCGCTCATCAGTCATCTGTGGGTAAGGTGAGAAAACGAAACAAAATACAATCACAGCGTGGGCTTTGTATGCTGGCAGCTGCTTTCCTTTGATTTAGCTTCTGTTTGGTTTTTGTGACTTTTTGTCGTTGCATATTTTCCTGGTGATGCCTTTCCCAATTTTGTGATGATGCGTACCAAGCGTACGCTATTTCGCCATTTGTGTCACGCACACAGTTACCGGTCCCGTGGCATTGTGGACCAGTTATTCCAAAAGAGAGCGATATCTTCGAAAAACTTCACCTTCTTTACCCCGATATGTGCGACAAATTATTTTGCCGAACTGCTCCTTTACAGTGATCACAACCTGCGACCTGATATATAATAATAATAATGCTTTCGTTGTCTTGCTTTGGATGGCAGATTTAGCTAGATCCTTCAAAAAACGCCTGTTTTGTAATTACGACAAGCAAAGTTAAGTTACCTGTGGTGACTGAAGTTATGCAGTTCTTCTTTTCCTCTGTCTCTCTCCACTCTTAGAACTTGATCCAACGTCATTGTCGTTTCACCGCGAAGGTGAATCACAATGACTGGGTAGAGGCGAAACAAACACCATCTCATCAATTTTTATCTTAAAGTAGCAGAGCGTGCTGCGTGTTGCACTGGCGCGGTGTTTCCAAGCTCGGTGTGGTGCCTGCTTTTTTGGTGCCTCGGGCGCAGATAAGCTGCTAACTCCGGTAAAGCGCCAGCTGAGATCTGCCGCTTCGGTGCGTTGGTGAAGGCCCATTGCCAGCTTCAGTGCGGATCGACGGCAGTCCGGCTGCGAACAGCGCCGCCTATTATCCGTTCCGCTGGAGGTCTTCCATGATGCGGCAGCAGACCAGCGCCGTCAGGATGCCGCCTGTTATCCGTTCCGCCAGAGGTCCTCCATGATGCGGCAGCAGACCAGCGCCGTCAGGTTGCCGTCGGTGATGACGGCGCCGCGCATGCCGTACTGGTGCTTGGTCGGACATTCGGCTGGCCAGGGGAGCGCTGGCTGGTCGCGCTGCTGCTGCGTCAGCTGCAGGCCGGCCGAAGCGGTGGCCACGTCCCGGCAGCCGCCGCGCTCCGCCCAGTCGTCCGCCAGCCAGCTGCAGCCCATCACCAGCGGCTGCCCGGCGCCGGCGCGACGCAGCGACGTCACGGCCGTGTCGTTGGGACAAAGCCAGGTGACGTTGGCGGCGACGTCGGTCAGCAGCTGCAGCTCGGCCGCGTGGCCCGGCTGCAGGCGGAAGCCGTTGCCCAGCTGGCCGCACTTGATCAGCTGGACGTCGTCAGCTCCGCCGAACGCCAGCAGCAGTCGGTCGTCGGTGCCGTTGCCACTGCAGTTGGCGGACCAGGCGCCTTCGGCGCTCGGGTCGGTCGCTACCGGCTCCGCCGTGAGACCCTCGAACATTCTGAAGCAGCGGTACCCAGCGCCCCAGGTGAAGTCGAAGCCTTCGTGGCAGACGCAGCGGCCACGTTTGCTGCAGCTGCCGTTGGTTATCTGGCACTCATCGGGAGCGTAGCAGAAGCCGCCGACTCCCAGCCAGCGCGGCATGGCGCGCACTAGCGTCGGCTGCGGCACCGCCGCCGGCAGCGCCTCCGGCGCCCAGCACAGCCGACAGCGCGTGTGCTCCTCCGCTGAGCCGTTGAAGCGCATGCCCCACGCACGTCTGCGGACGGCGAGCAGGGCGCAGCGAACGCGCGTGGCGTGTGGCAGCTGCTTCGGTTTCGCGTTACAGTCGGAGGTGCCGCCCGTCCAGAGAGTGACGTCAGACAAAGAGGGGCCTGCCAGCAGCACGAGCGCGGCGACCGCGGCCAGCACCAGGCTGGACCGCATCTCGGCGGCCACTGAGCGGACGCGGCGCCCGGAACCGGCCGGGCGCCCGCTGTCGGCCCACGCCGGCTGACGACGCCCCCTGAAAGCCGGCCGGCCGCGGCTCGATGCCGCCGGCCGACAGCACAATAGCGGACGCCGGCCGGCTGCGGTCACGCCTGTCCACCGCAGTTCTGCGGTGCTCTAATACAGCACTCGGCATAATTCCAACACGGCCTGCGTGACCTCAGCCGCCTTTGGTGGGCGTCACGATTGGCACTTTGGCTTGCACGACGCTGAAGGCTGTGTGGGTCGCCGAATGGACTCGCTTTTGTGACACCTCAATGCCGTTCATTCGATGCATGCGAGGTAGCTTCTTCTCTATACTCCTCGAGTAATGATTTAGCGGCTCACATACCTCGGGGGACCCCGTGGAAAACTATAGTCGCTTTCAGAAGGAGAGATTGATTTCCTTATGTGGTCTGGATAGATGTAAAGCGTGGCGTATGTGGTGATGCTCGAATTATGCTGGGACACGCCAGATTATGTAAAAGCGCTCGAATACGCAGCGTGTTCATTGCAGTGGGAGTTGGCATTGGTGTTTTTTGTTAAGTGTTTTCAATGGTTTGTCGGATTTGTGATGTGAATACGCTCGCGCGCCGCCCAGCGTCGTGTAAAGGCCTGGCCGACAGCAATAGCCAAGCAATTCCACTTCCTTCCGCCTCATCTTTGAACGAAGCGTGGTCCGCCAACAACCATTGAATGTACGTATTGTACTCTTTAGAAATCGCGACAAGTTCCTATGGCCTCTAAGGGGGTTGGCACGAATGCGCAGCGAGTTGGGGACCCCTGTTTGTGGATGCGCTCACGCTGCACGCCTCATCGCCGCATGTGGCGTTGTGTGGGCCGTTTGTTCCGTCGTCATGGTGACCGTTTGGCTCGGTTTGGTCGTTGGCCGGGTTGGTTCAGACGCTGGCGGTGTTTGCGTTGTGTGTGCCCGTGCTGCGGGGGCCGATGGTTCTGCTTCACTGGTGGTCGCCCTGGAGGTTGGAGGCCACAAGGAGGAGGGACGGCAAGGAGGGATGGAGGGAGGCGAGGAGGGATGGAGGGAGGCAAGGAGGGATGGAGGGAAGCAAGGAGAGATCTCCGGCCGCGGCGTATGTTAACGGTGGCACCGGTTAATTAGTTATTAATTGTGGCTGATTTCACGGTCGGGGTCGGGGTTATAGCTGTCAGCTTACACGCTGCCAGCTGCGGCTGGGCCATGGCGGCGCTCCTTGCGTGAAGGTTCCCCTGAAGAGCTACGTCGTTGTGTGCCAGTAGAACTCGTCTAGTTTCGGCGGAGCGCGGCCGGTCCCCCGCGCCTGTCTCAGGGATAGGACTCCAGCGTCGGCTGCTCGCCTGGCTGACAGGAGGGCCCGCGGCCGGTCCCCTGTGCCTGTCTCACGGACAGGACTCCAGCGTCGGCTGCTCGTCTGGCTGACAGGAGGGCCCGCGGCCGGTCCCCTGTGCCTGTCTCACGGACAGGATTCCAGCGTCGGCTGCTCGTCTGGCTGACAGGAGGACCCGCGTCCGGTCCCTTGTGCCTGTCTCACGGACAGGACTCCAGCGTCGGCTGCTCGCTTGGCTGACAGGAGGGCCAGCTTCGGCTGTACTCCTCGTCGGATAGGGCGGAACATTCCATACTGGCAGACCAGCGGCCCTCTTGTCTGTGTGGTCCACGTATGCCTGACGCAGATGGTCCCCATCTGTCACAAGAGGAGTGGACAAAATCATGCACCGGTGTTACCATGAGGGACATTATTCCGAATTATCTGCTTGGTATCCACAGTACATTCGCACTTGGATCTGAAAAGTATAGTCACACCTCCGTGAAGAAAGTCGTGACAGCGTTCGGTTCATTCACAGCCGATCCATTGTCACGTGATAGTGGTAGTTAACGTTACTGCAGTAAAGGTCTGCGCATGTCGCCTCGGCTGCTATAACAGCAGTTTCTTACCCAGCGTGATGTCATGTATTCAGACCGTTTTGGCCTATTTTGTACGGGTTTGAATGCTCAGGTGACTGATTTTGAAACACTTTGTTGCAGCATACTCTTCAGATAGTTGCACCACTGACCTCCCCCTCGTCACCAGCTATGCTCTGACATCCCCCTCGTCACCACCAGCTGTGCTCTGACATCCCCCCTCGTCACCACCAGCTGTGCTCTGACATCCCCCCTCGTCACCAGCTGTGCTCTGACATCCCCCCTCGTCACCACCAGCTATGCTCTGACCTCCCCCTCGTCACCAGCTATGCTCTGACATCCCCCCTCGTCACCACCAGCTGTGCTCTGACGGTCCCGTCCCGTCGCCACCAGCTATGCTCTGACGTCCCCCCCCCCTCGTCACCAGCTATGCTCTGACATCCCCCCTCGTCACCACCAGCTGTGCTCTGACGTCCCGTCCCGTCGCCACCAGCTGTGCTCTGACGTCCCCCCTCGTCACCAGCTGTGCTCTGACGTCCCGTCCCGTCGCCACCAGCTATGCTCTGACGTCCCCCCCCCTCGTCACCAGCTATGCTCTGACATCCCCCCTCGTCACCACCAGCTGTGCTCTGACGTCCCGTCCCGTCGCCACCAGCTGTGCTCTGACGTCCCCTCCCGTCACCACCAGCTGTGCTCTGACGTCCCCTCCCGTCGCCACCAGCTGTGCTCTGACGTCCCCTCCCCCTCGTCACCACCAGCTGTGCTCTGACGTCCCCTCCTGTCACCACCAGCTGTGCTCTGACGTCCCGTCCCGTCACCACCAGCTGTGCTCTGACGTCCCCTCCCGTCACCACCAGCTGTGCTCTGACGTCCCCTCCCGTCACCACCAGCTGTGCTCTGACGTCCCGTCCCGTCGCCACCAGCTGTGCTCTGACGTCCGAGGGGAGATGGAGGTCGACCGCCGACAGGAGCCGGCCGGACCGACAGCGGAGCGACACGGCGAGCGCGCGCCGGCTGGCAAGGCGCCGCCGGCTGCCACGTTCGGCTTCACGCCGGCCCAGCAGATCATGTTCCAGAGCAGTAGGTGCCGCCGGATTGTCCCGGGGTCTGGCCTCCGGACCAGCCTCTCGGACAGGCGCCAGTAGCCTCCCAGACAGTTGTGGAAATCGTCGGCTGTTTTAATAATTGGGTAATAGAATGCGATGAATAGCTGTGCGAGCCTGTCGTCACGCCAGGAGACTTTCTTCATATAAGTTTGGGATTCAAACGCGGAATCATTCGGTTGCGGACAGTTTGCTTCGTTGGAGTTCCACTCTGTTATCGGCAACGCGGGGCATGAGTGGCATGCAGGACAAGCGCCAAGGATGTGTGAACGGTGCGTTATGGCCTGTTGGCGGAGCAGCTATGTGCCAAGAGCTGACCCACGGCGTCGATGCTGCACAGGCAGCATGAACGGCCACCAGGTGGTGATGGTGACCCCGGAGGTGGCGCGCAGTCTGGGCATCGTGGCGCCATCCGGCGCCCGCTCGGGAAGTGAAGCTTCCATTCAGATCCAGCAGGACACGGGCGACGTCAGCGTCAGCGTCATGGACACCGAGGATGACGGGGTGGGTAGCACACAGCGCCGCCGGCACCTATGCTGTCAAGGCTCAGGGGGGGGGGGGGATGACGCTTCCTCTGCCTGGCGTTGGCATCAAGTCAGATTAAGCCATTTTTAGGTTACATAGGCGAGAGTTGCGACATTTACTGATCTGCATGGGTACCATAAAGCATGGCAGCGGACGGATGGCGTGAGCGCGTGGCCAAAGAAGAGTCCCGGCGCCAGTCCCGGTGCAGGTGACCTTTCGCCGCGTCTGAGCCGGTGGTCATGGGGTCCTCGGTGCGCACGCAGCGGCCGGCGAGTCGCCGTTCGGTCCGGCGGCGGCTGCGGGGACTGCGCGTCACGTCAGGCTCGGCGGACCGCCGGCCGCCGTCTGACCGGCCGCTCGCTCCCACAGATGATCGACCCGGACCAGTTCCTAGCCATGGAGCTGGCGTCTGGCAAGGCCGAGGCCGTGGTGGACGAGGACCTGACCTCGCTCTCCTGGCTGCACAGTCGCAACCTACTCCGAGGTGCCGTCTTCATGTCAGATTTCTGTTGGAGGTGTCCGCTGGTGGGCGCCGTGAGCGCGCTGTGTCAGGCGCGGCCTTGGCTCGGCTGCGAGGGGCATGGGCTCGGATGTCGGACACGGGCCGCTGGGAGGCTAGCGCCTGCCTTGTTACGGGTGGCGATGCGGCTCTGTCGTCCTGGTTCAGGGACGGCACTGCGTTGAGTGTGGTTACAGGTGCAGGGTCTGAAGCGCCGTGGCCGCATGATGCCTGAACCGCTGTCGCGACCGCGCTTTGTAACGGCACGTGTGATTGCGTATTCCTTGATGAACCATTCGATGTCGTGCTCCCCGTTTGACGGCGTTGGTCGAGGCTACGCACAAGGCGCATGGCCATCAAAGCAGCGATTGCTGTAGCCGGTATGTGTTGTATCTCAGTCGCGAAATGGTTCCGGTAACGCACCGCGCAGGACATGCGTTCCCGACATCACTTGGGGCCCGGGCAGCCGTGCCCGGGCCCCAAGGAGGCCCACCCTACCTTTCAGGTGGGTGGGATAACCACACCCATGCTCGGGCCACAGGGAGGTTCACCCCGCCCTTCAGGCGTGTGGGGTGACCGCAGCCGTGCCCGGGCCCCGAGGACGCCCACTCCACCCTTCAGGTGGGTGGGGTGACCGCAGCCGTGCCCGGGCCCCAAGGAGGCCCACCCCACCCCTCAGGTGCGTGGGATGACCACACCCATGCCCGGGCCCCGAGGAGGCCCACCCCACCCTTCAGGTGGGTGGGGTGACCACACGCATGCCCGGGCCCCGAGGAGGCCCACCCCACCCTTCGGGCGGGTGGGGTGACCACACCCGTGCCCGTGGCACTGCCGGTCGCGTCTGACCGGACCGTCGGGGCTCTGACGACGTCGCCGTCTGATCGGCCCGTCTGACCTCTGACGACAGCGGCGGACGTGCGGCTGAAGCCGGGCCCGATGGCGTCGGCGCCGCTCCTGGTGGAGGAGACGGCCGGCGGCGGCGCGCTCGGCGCCGAGTCGCCCACCTCCGACTACCGGGACGACTCGCCGGACGCCGGCGAGCTGTGCGCCTCGCCGCCAGCGGCCGGGGCGCCGCCGGCCGCGCGCGACGGCGCTCGCGCCAAGCGGCACCCGCCGCACCTACCGTACGACCCGAAGGTAAGCTCCGCCGCCCCCTGCAGCTTGCGCGGGACACCTACCCTACGATCCGAAGGTGCGCTCCGCCGGCCTCTGCTGACCCTGCAGCTTGCGCGGAACACCTGCCGTACGACCCAAAGGTACGCTCCGCCGGCGTCTGCTGACCCTGCAGCTTGCGCGGGACAGATGCTGCTGCGGTCGGCATGTGGTGGTAACGGTGGGTTGTAACAGGGGCATGATCGCCGTCTATCCCCTGTCAAGGCGCGGGGCCATGCTGTGCGTACCGTAGCGGTCTGCCGAGGCGATGCCATGTGATCGGCGAGCTGCTGTACTGCTGCTGATCGGCGAGCCAGCAGTATTGTGTCAGCGTTTGGTGTCACGGCGCGCGTGTGGCGTATGGCGGGAGTGGCTCCGGCCGTGCGCCAGCGGACGGCGCCAGTCTGACCAGCTCGCCGCTCCCGCCGCAGGTGCACGTGCACTTCAAGCCACCCTTCTCGTTTTCCTGCCTGATCTTCATGTCGATCGAGGATTCGCCGAACAAGGCGCTGCCCGTCAAGGAGATCTACGGCTGGATCATGGAGCACTTCCCGTTCTACCGGGCGGCGCCCGTCGGCTGGAAGAACTCGGTCCGACACAACCTGTCGCTTAATAAATGCTTCAAGAAGATTGAAAAGGCTCCGGTGAGTGGCAGCGGCTGGCTGACCGCCTCGCGCGCGCACTGGCCGAACTCCCCGCCTCTCCACGCGCTGGTTGGACATAGTTATTAAGTTGGTGAGAGTACCTTGTGCTTCCATGGTTTTTGTGGTGGATGGTCCTTCTGCTGTTCTAGTATGTTATGTGAAGTATTATGATTGTGTCATTGCCTTTCAGCTTTACGTTATGTGCGCTTAAATCGAGCTCAGATACTGTATCGCTATTAAGTCTTTATTTTCGCTTGTCAGGTGCAGTCCGACCTCAACGTTGCGCGTTGTTTGCCTCAGATTAAAAGTACCATAGCATTGTGTTGGAGTCTGTGGGTTGTTCTGTCCAGAACATGGGGCGAGGCATTGCACTCAGAACATGCTGATCCGTAGGCACGGACGTTGTCTGGGCGGTGGCCGAGACTACTTGACCCTCCCCCCCCCCCCTCCCACACACACACTTCCCTCTGCAGAGCGTGGGTAAGGACTCGCTGTGGAGGTCGTCAATGCTGCCACGTCTGAACTCTTCCCCCCCCTCCCCCTTCTCTCCGTAGAGCGTGGGCAAGGGCTCGCTGTGGACGGTGGACGCACTGTTCCGGCCGAACCTGATCCAGGCGCTGAAGCGGTCGCCGTGCGTGCAGTCGGGCCGGTCGCCGGCGAGGCCGTGGTCGGCGGCGGCTGCCGCGCTCGGCGCCGAGCCGACGCCGCCCGGCCGGCGGCCGCTGCCGCTGAAGGTGGCGCGCGCCCGCGCCGCCGACCCGCCGCCGGACGAGCGGCCCGACGAGGCGCCGCACGAGCCGCAGCAGCCGCAGGACGAGCCGCAGGAGGCGCCGGAGCAGCGGCTGACGCTGGGGCTGGACGCCGCGCCGCCGCGCCGTCGGCCAGGCAGAGGCCGAGGCAGGGGCAGAGGTCAGTCGGCGGCACCAGCTGCACGGCACGCTGGCCACGTGATGCGCACGTAAGGTACTGTGTTTCCATGTGGTACACGATACAAGTAACGACCTCTGATGGTGCTGTGGTGGGCACGACCATGTATGTCCTCTCCAGCTCTCCTGTGGGGGGGGGGGGGGGGGATTAGAACCCTTCTGCTCGTGAGGTGTCCGGCTGTAATGCAGGGGTCATGCCTGTCACGGCCGTCAGAGGACTGGTGTCCTGTGAGAGGAAGCGTTCTGCTTCTGGTCGTCTCGAGGCGGGATTGCCAGCGTGTGGTGTGACGGAACCTGTCCACGTCTCGCAGGAGCTAAGCGTGGGGCGCCCGTGCCGGCGCGACGGCGCGACGGCGAGAATCTGCCCAACCCGGACCTGTTCCCCTTCCTGTCGCGCCGTCTGTTGACCGGCCCGGAAGACGTTGGTTCGAGCGACGACCGACAGGGCGGCGCTGAGGTTGAGGATGCGGCCGATGGTGACCAGGAGGGCCTGATTATCGTGCAGGAGGCGCCACCGTCGCCAAAGCAGGGTGAGGTCGCTGCGGCGGAGGCCGCGGGACGGCCAGCGGAACGCGAGCTGTGCAGGGGGCGGTGGCCTCGTCCTGGTACCGTTCGGTTCGCCGCAGATATCCACTCATTTTTTATGCGGGGATTGTTGTTTTAGGCTAACAATCACTGCATCCCCTCGTTGTTTTTTTTTAAAAATGTTGCATTGGCTGTATGCAGACGTGCTCCTTGAGCCACCCAAAATGGTCCCAGGATCCCATGAACAAGGAACCCTATGGTACTCTGGGTCCATCATTGGGATCCAGGCCTATGTGTGTTGCATGAAACCATGACAGTGTAAGATTCCTGGCTAATTTGTTCGTTGTGAGATATTCAGCGTGTCTGAATGGTTCAGTGAGGTGTTGGGTTCCCGATTTTTCTCTTAGGTGAGTCGATTGAAAGTTGTGACGCCTCACCCTGATTCCGGCGTTGCTCCACCGTGTTGAAAGCATTCTGAACATCAGCGTTGCGCTATTTGTGTGTCTCCAATAATGCATGAGCGGACCACCGAGTGTCGCATAACTGTAGTTTGAATTGTGGCATAGTTTTACGCCATAGCATCACGGCCGTAGACTAGGTGCAAACGCTGCGTTCGGGAATCATAACTTTTTGCTCGCTTAGGAAAAACTGACTAGAAGGCTTGTTTTGCACAGTTAGCCAGCCGTTCACGGAGTTGGTCTGCTCGTGGCTGGCGGTGAAGCCACCGGCTTGGCTGTGAAGGCCGTGGTCGGTCTGTTGTCGCGCGTGTTGTGACGCGCGGCCGCGCCCGCCTGTCGTTGCCAGCGAGACACCTGCGGCGCGCTCGAGAGGGTGATCACGACTACGGCTCGACGGAGGTGCACGGCGGCGGCGGCGGCGGCGGCGACACCGCGCGCCATCCGGTGAGAGCTGGGCTCCAGGCGCGGCGCCTTCGCCAGCCACAGTCCTGGCGATAGTGTCGGCCGCCCTGCTAACGGGTTCAGGTTTTGTGGCTTGATTGCAGTGACCGCGCCTGTGTAAAAGGTGATTTCGTCTTGGGCTGGCCCTCATGCGCTGTGCTTTGTTCTGACTCGAATGTCGTGATACATTCAGGTCCCACCGGCGCGTCGTGGCCTTGTACTCTCGTGTGGCCGGTGCGGCAAGATGTGGTCACGTCTGAGCGGTGTGTTGTGGCTTCCCGACCTTGTGGGCGGTGTGTTGTGGTGGCCCCGTTCCTTTGTGCGGTTTATTGTGGTTGTCCTATCCTGTGTGACTGGTGTGTTATGGCTATCCTGTGCTGTATGAGCAGTGTGCTGTTGCTTCCCTTCCATGTGGGCAGTGTGTCGTGGCTGCCCCATCCTGTGTGACTGGTGTGTTGTGACTGCCCCATTCCCGTGAAGTTTGTTTTGGCTGCCCCATCCATGCGGACAGTTTGTTGTGGCTGCCCCATCCTGTGTGAGTGGTGTGTTGTGGCTGCCCCATCCTGTGTGAGTGGTGTATTGCGGCTGCCCCATCCTGTGTGAGCAGTGTGTTGTGGCTGCCCCATCCTGTGTGAGTGGTGTATTGTGGCCGCCCCATCCTGTGTGAGCGGTGTATTGCGGCTGCCCCATCCTGTGTGAGCAGTGTGTTGTGGCTGCCCCATCCTGTGTGAGTGGTGTATTGTGGCCGCCCCATCCTGTGTGAGTGGTGTGTTGTGGCCGCCCCATCCTGTATGAGTGGTGTATTGTGGTTGCCCCATTCTGTGTGAGTGGTGTGTTGTGACTGCCCTGTGCTGTGTGAGCAGCGTGTTGCGGTTGCCCCGTGCTGTGTGAGCAGTGTATTGTGGTTGCCCTATGCGGTGTGAGCGATGCGTTGCGGCCCCGGTGGCTGACGGGAGTGCCCTGTGAGGCCGTGCTGCGCCCTGACCGCGCCCGGGTGGTCGGGCAGCGTCTGCTGGTTATCAGCCGGTGTCCGGAGGAGGAGCACACGTACGCGCTGGACCCGCTGCGCCGCCGCTCGCCGCGTCCGCTCAGCGACGACGAGGCCTTCTCGGACGACTCGAACCTCTCGCACGAGCCCAGGTGCGCGCCGCCCGACCCTCGGCTGTGTCTCCCCCGCCGGCCACCGGAGCCTGAGGCAGCCCCCCCCCCCCCCCCGACCATTGGCCATGTCTCCCCCCGCCGGTCAACGTAACCTGAAGCATCAGGCGTGCGCACACTGATCGAGGTTGTTTACCGTCACAAGGCTAGGTCTTGTGTGTCACATCGGACTGCATTGTTCGCTCTTCGAAGCCGGTCGTGTTGAGGTGGTGGCTTTGCTGCCTTCATACCAGGTCTGGCCTAGTTTGCTATGTCTTCGGAGCTGTTTGTTGTCTGAGTGACACAGCGCGTGGTCTAGCTGGTGTCCGGCGGGCGGTCAGTACGGCACGTGGTGCTGGCCAGACTCGCCGCGCCTGACGTCTTCTCCTGTCTCGCTAGCGGCCGCCTGGTCGGCCTCAGCCCGGAGGAGGTCGGCATGCGCTTCGTGGAGGAGGGCGCCGACCTGCTGCTGAACCTGGCTGGTGTGTCGGTGCCGGCCGCCGGCCGCAGGGGCTCAGGACGGCCGCCGGCGCGCGGCCGCGCCGCCGCCCGGTAGGCCGCCCTCCGCCGACGCCGACGCCTGCTCTAATGGTCTCTCCCGTGCGTGTTCGTGCGCTTTATTACGTGTGTAGTTGAGGATGAGCTGGCAGCGGGCCCGGTAGTCTCACTGACCGCTTGGACGCCGCGTCGGTGATTTACGGGGCGGTGAGGCTGCTCTTTTGGTCACTAGTTGGCCGTTGCGTTTCCGGGCGACGGAGACCAGGGCGACCGGTGCCGGCCGGGTGGGTGGAGCCGGCAGAGCCGCACCAACCCCAGTCATGCATCCCACCCGGCAGCCGCTGCATTATCCCCGGTGAGCCTGCGGGCGCGTGCCCCCAGTAGGTGTAGGGCGGGGGAGACGCGCCTGTACAAAGCACTCTGTACCAGAGGGCCGGGCCCGGCTGCGGTCCGCCGACCGGGCCCGCGCGCCGGCGTGCCGAAGGTGCCCGCCGACGGCCGCCACATAGTATCAGTCGAGAGGTGAATCAAATACATGCGAGCTGCGCCTGTTTCCGAAGCTGTGCTGTGTGGAGCCGGTGCGAGAACCGCTGCTGGTTCTCCGGCGCCGGCCGGCTGGACTGAGCTACGCTGGACTACTACTGGACTGAGCAGCACAACCCGTGGTGTAGTGCCCTGTATGTGGTATCGAGGACAGCTTCTCGGAGTAAATTCGTGTCGTATAGCAGGCCGCTGCTTACACATTGACCAGAAGCGAGCGTGGAGATGATGAGCACATAATCGAGCTTATTCACTGCATTGTTCATCGGCTTTTATGCGATTGTTGTATCCAAGAGCTATGAGTGGTAAGCACGCACTCTGGAGTGATACAAAACACGACACAGTTCAAAATCAGAGGAAAAGTTGGCGAAAGGTAACTGTTGCGTCGTTGCTGTAAGTCTGGTTGCGGTGCAGGGGTGGCTGTTGAATGTGTTGGTGGTGGCCGGCCGCGCGCCGAGCCGACGGGCGGCGTCACATGACCAGCCCCAACTCGCCACCCCTGTCGTGTCGAGCGGCGTCGACCGCTCTTGATGCGGTGTCGGACGGTGCACCAACAACCAGACATCATCTCGCCCGACGAGAGCTCCTCATCGGCAAACAGCTGTCAGATTATTGGGCATGACGTCACGGGTGGATGCGCCACGACGGGTCGCACACTCAGTTTAGTGTCCCGTGTGTGGCGTAGATCTCTGTAAATTCACTGGTAACTGCCTCTGGTAAAAAATTACTGGATTATTTCGTTTCCTGGTACTTCATCTCCCATGCCTTGATCATTGCCCTACACTCCAGGTTGTATAATTCCGGCGGGGTGTCACGTAAAAGCATTTTGTACATATGCAGACGTGTTCTGCATCGTGCAGTGGCTGCTGGAAGCAAATGTAGCGTGCCAGTCAGCGGTACTAAGACTCGGACAACTGTTTGGTCGGACACCGTAGAGTTTAACTTCCATAGCTCTCGCTGAGTGCCCACGCAATGTAAGAAGTCGCGTGGCAACACGAAATGCGGCTCCTCTCTGAACACGCGCATAAATGGTGGACGCCCGGCGGAGATCACTGCGCTGTCCAGGAACGACCGCATGTCCAAGAACAAGATGCACGACCCGTCTGCACGACCCGTCTGGAAGTGTCATTCCGTGCTGGCCGGAACCAAACAAAAGGGTGCTGCAGGGCACTGACATGATTCGGTGGCATGATGGTGGACGCGAAATGGATGGCTGCCTCGCACGGACGCGTCACCAGGCAGCTGTCAGCAACGGCCAGTGGGCGGACGGGCAGGAAGAGGGAGGCGGAGAGAGAGGGAGAGGCAGAGAGAGAGAGAGAGGCAGAGAGAGAGAGAGAGGCAGAGAGAGAGAGAGAGGCAGAGAGAGAGAGAGAGAGAGAGAGGAGAGAGGCAGAGAGAGAGAGAGAGAGAGAGAGAGAGAGAGAGAGAGAGAGAGAGAGAGAGAGAGAGAGAGAGAGAGAGAGAGAGAGAGAGAGAGAGAGAGAGAGAGATAGAGAGAGAGAGCGAGAGAGAGAAGAGAGATAGATAGAGAGAGAGAGAGAGAGAGAATATAGAGAAGGCGATATTAACGTAGGAATAGTGAAGAGACCCCACGGATGCTGCACCTCATGGCGACCGGTGTCCCTTGAGTGGGAAGCGACCAGGCACGGCTGCCCTCGTTGCTAGATGATTGAGGCGGCCGCCCCTCGCACAATTCATGCGTCCGCTCGAACAAGTTTCCGGACGCGACTCGGCGACGTTCCGTGCGGTGGAACTGGAGGGCGGCCCGGTAGGGTCACGGCGGTCCAGCTGCCGGCCGGGCCCTGTCTGCCGAGCCGACCGGGGCCGCCGGCCGGGCCTCGTCCGCCGAGCTGATGGCGGACCTCATCCGCGATCCAGCACGGTGATTTGATTCCACTTTGCAGCTAAAGAACTGCCCTCTGAAGAAATTCACATACGCCAGCCAGCGCATGCACGCGCCAGAGGTGCCAGATTCGTCTGCCCTCCTGCCATGTTGGGAGGCAGGCCACGCCACGCAGGCTTAGCAGCTGAGTGCGACGTAAAGCTTCAATGACATACACGCATGCATGCGTCTCATAAAAACATCTGCCTGTAGCCTGCCAGTGCAGGCAGCACCCGACAATCACGTTCAGTTGCCACCCTGAGGTATATTTTGGTACTGGCCAGGCAATGCGATGACGAAACGCTAACCGACGCCACGGGTAGGCGTCCGGCGCAGGTAACAGACTTCGCTCACAATGGCCGGTTAGCAGCGCAGGTAACAGCCTTTGCTCACAATGGCCGGTTAGTAGTGCAAGTAACAGCCTTCGCTCACAATGGTCGGTTAGCAGCGCAGGTAACAGCGTTTGCTCACAATGGCCGGTTAGCAGTACAAGTAGCAACCTTCGCTCACAATGGCCGGTTAGCAGCGCAGGTAACAGCCTTCGCTCACGATGGCCGGTTAGCAGCGCAGGCCGACGATGCCGGCCGACGTGATGAAGTCGTAACGTGCCAGCAGTGGTGAAAGCTGAGGAACTGTGTGTGACGTTGAAGCTTGCTGCGGGATCGTAATTCCTTACCGTTCCACAGACATGTTAAAACGCGAAGCTTCGGTAGAAGAGGGACGGGCCCCTGCCGCAAGTAATGTAGCGCACTTTTGGCAATTTGTCCACCCCCCCCCCCCCCCCCCCGCCCTCACTGATTACGCACTACGTAAGTATGCAGACGACGTCACCTGTAGGCGGCGGCACCTCCGTAGACGGCGCCATCACCGTAGGTGGCGTCATGAAAGTTGTAGGCGGCACCACTGAAAATGCGCCTGCCGCCCCATCCGCTAGATATCACCGTGCCCTATGCAGTTTCAGGTTTCATCTGGAATTTGTCACCTTAACTCCGCCAGCTGTACCTACAATCATTTCCACCTTTTAACTTATTTCTTCACGCCGACAGAAGTGGTTTCAACTCCCAATTTGGCGATTTGTTTCACAATGTCTTATATGCCTTTCGTCAGCGCCAACAGATAAGCTCTGCAAACATCCGCTCCCTCTCTCACGCCGCGACACGGACATGCGAAGGTCGGGCCGCTCGCTGCTCCAGTGACTGCGGAATAAACCTTTGTTGTTAAGATACGCGCTCAAGTGTTAGTGCCCATACGCACAACAGTGGTGACCCCGAGCGTACACGCCAAGTTGATCGGTGCTGCAGTGTGCCCTTACCGCCGAACAGTGTGTGAAGCGACTCGCGATACTTTGCGACGTTCGGTGACGCATCAGCCACTTCGGACTGATGAACCCGGACGGCACGTCTCCTGCACCCGGTGGCTCCGGCAGCTCGCCGCCACCAACTGCGGCCGGCCTCAGGACCGCCGACGGGTCCCAGACCCCCGCAGCCCGGCAGGTGACCGCGCTCCGCCTGCCGCCATTCTCCGCCGAGGACGCGGAGCTCTGGTTGGCCCAAGTGGAGGGCGCCTTCGGCGTCGCGGGGGGGGGGGGGCGGCGGACGATCTGGCCCGCTACCAGGTGCTGGCGTCGTCGCTGCCTACGGACGTGGCGGCCCAAGTGCGAGATGTAATCACCAGCCCAGCACCAACATACGCGCTGCTGACATCCGCACTGCGCCAACGTTTGGCGCACTCCAGGACGTCCCGCCTTGAGGCGCTACTGCGGAACCAGCAGCTGGGAGACCAGCGCCCGTCCCAGCTCCTGAGACGGATGCATGGCGAGCTGTCAGCGGCCAGTGATGCCCCAGCGGACCAGGGCCTGTTGAGGACGCTTTTCCTCCAGCGCCCGCCCCAAACAGCCGCTGCTGCCCTCTCCACGCTGGACGAAATAATGCCACTGGAGAACCTGGCCCGTGCGGCAGACAGCTTTATGGAAGCATCAAGGTCGGTGTACCGGCCAGCCAGCCTGTCTGCCATCCAGCAGCCAGCGCTGCTCACACCACCCGCACCAGCACCAGTGACTGAGCTGTTGGCCACTGTAGCTAGCCTGACTGCCACCATCAGCGAGCTCCAGATGGAGGTCCGCTCCATGCGTCAGGAGAGGGCCCACAGCCAGGACAGGTCAACCCTTCCCTGCAGCCGCTGCCGTAGCCAGAGCCGTGGGCGACCCAGCTACCACCGCCAGGAGAGGTCACCATCCCGTTGGAGGGGTGGGGTCTGTTATTATCATGCACGGTTTGACGCTCAAGCTAGGAAGTGCCAGCCCCCTGCTCCTGGGCGGGAAACGACGTGGCCCGAGTGTACCTGCGCCCCAACTCTCAGGCACCCCTCTCCTGGGGCGGCTGCTTCATGTCAGCGGCGGTGACACCACCTACATGGGGGATACTGGCGCGCAGGTCAGTGTCCTGCCGATTTCGCAGCTGCCCGCGGGAGCTAAGCCGGAGTCCACCAGCCTGCGGATCATCGCAGCCAACGGATCCGCAGTGACCACTCACGGTTTCACTGCGAGGGACGTCAAGCTGGGAGACCACAGCTTCACATGGCGGTTCCTGGTTGCTGATGTCCAGGCAGCCATAATCGGAGCTGACTTCCTCCACCACTACGAACTCGCGGTCGACCTGAGCGCCCGCGCGCTGCTCTTGCCCTCTGGTGACGTGTTGGTGACGGGTTTTCATTCTCCCCGGTCCAACAGCCTGCAGGGACTGCAGCTCGGCGCCAACCACCTGGCCCGGCTCTGGGACGAGTTTCCCGAGCTGACCTCGCCGCCATCTGCCAGAGCTCCAGTCCAACATGGAGCCACACATTTCATTGAGACCAGGGGGCCGCCCAAGGTGGCACGAGCGCGCCGACTGGCGCGCCTCGCTGCCTCGCCGCTGCCAAAGCCGGGGTGAAGCAGTTGCTGGAGGATGGCATCATGCGCCCCTCCAAGAGCAGTTGGGCGACCCCGCTGCACCTGGAGACCAAGGATCAGTCAGGCCGCTGGCGGGTCTGCGGCGACTATCGTGCCCTTAACGCAGTCACCATCCCGGACCGTTATCCTGCGCCACATCTCCAGGACTTCGCTGCAGATCTACACGGTTGCAGTTTCTATTCAAAGCTGGACCTTTCCCGAGCCTTTCATCAAATTCCAGTGGAGCCGACCCACATCAACAAAACAGCCATCATCACCCCATTCGGTTTATACGAGGCGACACGTATGCCGTTTGGGCTCCGCAATGCTGCTCAAACGTGTCAACGCCTGATGGACGAGGTCCTCCGCGCACTACCCGGCGTCTTCGTGTATATCGACGACATCCTGGTGGCCAGCACCACCCTGACCGACCACGAGCGCCGACTTCGGGACGTTTTCTCCCGCCTCAGCGACTACGGCATCGTGGCCAACCGCCCCAAGTGCGTCCTGGGGGCGCCTCACCTGGAGTTCTTGGGACATCTCATCACGCCGGAGGGCATCACTCTGCTGCCGTCCAGGGTGGCCGCCATTCGTGACTTCACACTGCCCCAGACAGAACGCCAGCTCCGCCGATTCATCGGGATGCTGAACTTCTTCCACCGTTTCATCCCGTTGGCGGCCGAGCACCTCGCCCCACTCCATGCGTTGATCACGTCTCAGGCCCAGTCGCGACGCGAACTGGAGGTGATCTGGACTAAAGAGGCCAGAGAGGCGTTCGCCCGCTGTAAATCGGCGCTCGTGGACTCGGTGCTGCTCCTTCACCCAGCGCCCGACGCCCCCATCAGCCTCCAAGTGGATGCCTCGGACCAGGGCGTCGGCGCAGTGCTGCAACAGCACGTCCGGGGACGCTGGCAGCCCCTTGGGTTCTTCTCTCGCTCCCTGCACAAGCCCGAGAGGCGCTACAGCACCTTCAGCCGTGAGCTGCTGGCGATCTACCTCGCCATCCGTCACTTCCGGTATGCCGTCGGGGGGCGGCCACTGATCGTGTTCACCGACCATAAGCCGCTGACCCATGCCATCTGGAGCAACAGCGACCGGCACTCACCGCGCGAGGCCCGGCACATCGACTTCATCTCACAGTTCACCACCGACATCCGCCACGTACCGGGCAAGATGAACGTCGCTGCTGACACGCTGTCCCGCGCCGTCAACGTGCTTCTCACGCCTGAGCCAGCCGTTGACGACTTCGATGCGTTAGCGGCCGCCCAGACGGTGGACGACGAGTTCGTCCGGTTCCGCGAATCCGACCACGGTTGACGGCTGCGTGACGCCCGACTGCCCAGTGGCAGGACGCTCGTGGTGGATGACTCCATCGGCACAACACGCCCGTGGATCCCAGAGCCGCCGCGCCGTGCCTACTTCCGGCATGTGCACGACCTGTCGCACCCGGGGGTGCGAGCCACCGGCCAGCTCGTCACCAGCCGGTTCATCTGGCCCTCTGTCAAGAGAGACTCGCGGAGGTGGACCCAAACCTGTCAGACGTGCCAGCGAAATGCGAAGGCGCGGAGACACACACGCTCGCCTGTGGGCGTGTTCGCCCCGCCCAGTGATCGGTTTGTCCACGTGCACGTGGACATCGTAGGAGCTCTGCCGCCCAGTGACGGCCACGCCTACCTATTGACCATCGTCGACCGGTTCACCCGCTGGCCAGAGGCCGTGCCGATCCGCGACATGACCGCGGTCACCGTCGCCCGCGCTTTTGTCGCCGGATGGGTCGCCCGGTTTGGCGTACCCAGCCGCATCACCACCGACCGTGGCGGGCAATTTCAGTCCACAATCAAACGGACTCGTCGAGCGGATGCACAGGCAGGTCAAGACGGCCCTGCGCTGCGCGGTCACGCCCCGGTGGACGGACGCCCTGCGGCTGGTGCTGCTCGGCATCCGGTCAGCGCTCAAGACCGACCTCCAATGCAGCGCCGCCGACCTCGTCTATGGCTCACCGCTCCGCCTGCCGGGCGAGTTCTTCGAGCCAGCGCAGACCGCCCAGACACCAGCCCGGCGTCGTACGCCGCCCAGTTGCACCGCACCATGCAGGCGTTGCGTCCGACGACGCTCCGTCGATCAACCGACGCGCACAGCTACGTTCCACGTGCGCTCGCGGACGCGTCGCACGTGTTTGTCCGGCATGCCGCTGTGAAGCCGCCGCTGTCGCGCCCCTACGACGGTCCGTTCCTGGTCGTGAGCCGCACGGAGAAGACCGTCACCGTGAACCGCGGCACCCGCCGGGATACCGTGTCCGTCGACCGCGTGAAATCGGCGTTCATGGAGGATGGCCCAGCTCTGACCGGTGGACGCGCCCGGTCTCTGCGTACGCTAGCGCCACGGCAGCCTCCCGATGACAGCCCGCTGCTGCTGCTCGACCGCGCGAGTGTCCCGGTGGCCTGCGAGCCACACCGACCGCTCCCCGCCCATGAGCGCGCGGCTGCCGCTGCGTTTCCGGTCGGCCCAACTGCCAACGCGCCCGCCATGCCGCCTTCCATTCTCCGCACGCGCTCGGGACGCGCGGTGCACCCGCCAGTGCGTTACCGCCACGTCCACTTCGTGGGCGTGTCTAGGGGGAGCACTGTAGACGGCGTCACCTGTAGGCGGCGACACCTTCGTAGACGACGCCATCATCGTAGGTGGCGTCATGAAAGTTGTAGGCGGCGCCACTGAAAATGCGCCTGCCGCCCCATCCGCTAGATGTCACCGTGCCCTATGCAGCTTCAGGTTTCACTTGGAATTTGTCACGTTAACTCCGCCAGCTGCACCTACAATCATTTCCTATCTTTCAACGTATTTCCTCACGCCGACAGAAATAGTTCCAACTCGTAAAGACCTTTCATTTGGCGAATTGTTTCACAATGTCTTATATGCCTTTCGTCAGCGCCAACAGATAAGCTCTGCAAACATCCGCTCCCTCTCTCACGCCGCGACACGCGCATGCGACGGTCGGGCCGCTCGCTGCTCCAGCGACTGCCGAATAACCCTTGTTGTTAAGATACGCGCTCAAGTGTTAGTGCCCATACGCACAACAGGTATGCTGAGTGAAATGGCCCTCCCCTGATTACACCGCGTTAGTCAAGCGTAATTTTGTGCGGGGTAACTTACTCCGCCGCTGGAAACTCAGTGACCTAACTAAATCATCCGTGTGACGACATGGAAGATAAAACATTTCATGATATCTTCGAACAGCACAAGAAGCATGATGACGATGGTTGGGACATTCTAAGGCCATTTTGCGCTCATACTAGTTAAGTGGCTACCGAGGCGTACAAATGGCTGTAAATCCTACATTTGTCAGAAAGGAGACCAGCTGCACCGTGCCAAGCACGTGAGAAACACTACCAATAAGGTCCGAAAATGTAAGACCCGCAGCATCTTATCCGAAATTAAGAGACCACTCTTCGCTGAATTGGGAGCAAGAGTGAATGACGTTGCGCGATTAATGTAGGTGGTACATCACAACGATGACATTTGTGCCATTCTTAACCCGCAATGGAAGCTTTAAAAGGCAGCTATGTGTCGCGCGCGTGTGGCCTGATCGTATCCTGCTGAGAGCTACTTCTTCGCATTTCACCTTGCGCGATCTTGGCGGTTATGGACCCAGCTGAAGCTTGGTCGCCTACAACTTGCTATGTACAGTGACAGCGCGCTGTTGTGTCGCCATTTTCGTTTCATGCGGGCCGTGATGGCGGGGTAGAAGCTTCTTGCCGGCAAGGGCAATGAGCGGTCGCAATGTGCGCTCTGCCCGTTTTGCGGCCGTGTCGGCACGCTCGTTACCCGCGATACCCATATCGCTTGGTATCCAACATAGGACGATAGTTTTACCCACAAGATCCAGCGCTGTCAGGCGAACTTAAATATCCTGCCTAATGGGTCAAGCTGACTTAAATGCTGTTGCGATCAACAGGCTACTCAAGGCATCGGATAAGGTCACGGTGCACCTGTCTTCACCAACTTCGATAAACCACAAGACTTTACTAATTGCGATGACCTCGGACGCGTACACTGAGGCGTGTTTTGCTAATGAAAATGGCCGGGTGGCTCGGCGGTGTACAAATGCAACGTCAACGCCCACCTTCGTTTTGGCACCATCGGCAGATGCTGCTTGAGATCCTTCTTATGGCCCGATATGTCGCAGAGTCTTCGACTTAAGGTCGCTGCGGCAAGTTCATAACAATCTCTAAGGCGTTGCACGGCGTTGATTTATAAACACGCACATTGTAGGCGTCTGGCTGTGTCGAGGTGGTATGCGGCTTAAATCAAATAAACACGCGTGCTTGCACGCCGCATGACCGTGCCGAATCGGTCGCTAGGCGTCGGCCGGCCGTGCGTAGTGCTGATAAGCGCGAGCAAAGAAAGGCGAGCGCGGGTTAGAGTACAAAGGAATGTAAGAGGCACAACAAACAAAGCAAATGGAAAAAGAGCGGGCAAGCTGCTTTAATATCATCCCTTACAAAACAAGCATTTTTGAGTCCATACATATGCATGTGTATATATATATATATATATTTATACATATATATATATATATATATATTTATACATATATATATATATATATATATATATATATATATACATATAGCGGTAATCGGAGCCTTAAAGGAAGTGTTCCGCATTAGTATGGATTTTGAACGCAAATGTCCATTTTGAAGATGATTCGGTGCAGTTCACGGTCTTGCCATTGTTAAGATCTAAACCATCTAGTTTCTGAATTACGCGCCCGCGAAGATGTACTGACTTTTTTGGGGAGACTATTTCAAGGTCCCGAGCCATCCACGAGGACATAAAGTCATTTAAATCCTGCTATTCCGTTGACTATGCGGCGATCCCCCCCCCCCCCCCCCCCCCGCTTTCCCCCAAAAAGATTGGTAAGGCGTTCGTACACGGTGTTCATGAGCACCATTTCCAGACATAACTGCCGTCGATTGGCTCCCAATCAATGTTATGCGACGTGCGATGACGTAATGAAACAATGATGCATTGAGAACCATATTAGTAAACAAAGAAATTGTGCTGCCTCAGCCTTTTCCACTAAAAGTGTCAATAGTTATAAGTATGTTTATTTCATATCTTATTTTTGTATCCATGTCTTCAAATGCCGAACATTGTCTTAAAAGTCAATCGCGATCTATGCTACGTAATATAAGAGGCTGCACATCCCTTCTAGTTATTCCGGAAACAAGACTTGCATCGAATGGCTTAATAAGGTCAAGCATTTCATTCGTCGTCGCGGTGCGTGGCTTGCTTGCCGCTCGCGGTCGGCATTGTGCGCACGAGCGAGAAGGAGCGCGAGCACCGCCTCGTGTGTGGCGCGGGCCTAGTTGCAACCGGCACCTTAGGGTGGTTGGTTCGGAGATCTGTCGTCACGCGGCCGTCATCCGGTCGGCACTGGAGCCGCGGCTGGCCGCTAGGTGACGGAAAAGCCGTACCAGACATCCTAGGAGGTGCTGCCGAGTGCTGCACAAGTGTAAGCATTTCCACCCGCTGCAGTGCGGCGCTTGCTTCCGCTTCCGCGGCCGAAAAGGTGCGGGCGCCTGGAGCGGTAAATCAACACCGTCCTTTATGCATGGCGCGGGCCCCGGCTGTAAACGGCACCCAGGCTTACCTGATTCGGAGAACTCTCGCTAGATGGCAGGTGGCGGCCCTGCCGGCTCGGGAAGCTGAGGTCTTCCACCGGACGATGGAAAAAGGGCCGAATCAGGTGTTCCAAGTGTCACAGCGGGGCGGTGCGCATGCGCAATGGAAAGACGTGCGTCAGTCCGGCGCACACCCTGTGTAAGCCGTGGATCTCGGCCACTCGAGGCGCTCTGCACCTTGGCCACTCTGGGGTAGGTTCTTGGGGACGGGCAAACGAGGGTGGGACTCTGCGGCCTTTACGGGGGTTCCTTCATGCCTTTTTAAATGACTGATGGTACGATTGATATTGATCCATTGTTCAGGCTACTTCCGAAATGAGCGACTGTGCTTGGAACTGGAGAGTAACGGATTAAGTTTGTGAAGCGTTCGAGTCTGAATATGGCTATTGATAGAATACACATGTGCAGTGAGCATATTTTTCTCTTCCTGGCACGCTGTGCCGGGGTTGCTCTGCGGTGAACGTTAAGCGAATTCTTCCGGGCCCACACATCCACACCGTGCGGCAGGCGAAGCAGATGTGCATTAAACTCAACCATCACGACGCATGGAGGTGGCCACTAAGAACGATGTGTTATTTCACGGTGAGGACTGGCGCGAGGCGCTGGCCAGCAACGTGAGATCTTTACATAAAAATGGTGCGTATCGGCCGGGAACCCAAATCCTCTGGAACGTCCGGCGCCCACCGTACGAGCCGTTTGACCCGGGGTCCTCGGCTTCCAAGATTCGGCGGACGATTGAAGCTCGAAATCTGGGAGTTAATCTCCTGCTCTCGTGTGCCTGTTGAGGCACCCCAATACATGCGCTTGGATGAGTCCGCGAGGGTCTCTGACTGCCTGAAGGCTCCATGATCCGTCTGGGTCGCTGCTCTCCGGATACAGGCTGCTTTTCGTCTTCTGTTTGGAGTGAATTTTAGCGAAATCGACTATTTCTTTAGAAATAGGTAGCGTCGCATGTCAGGAATCCATGTCATAAATTTTGAGTTTATCCGTATCATGTATTATTATTGACAACCATGTGTTGTCAATAATAGTACAAAGTACAAATTGAAAACCTTCAGGCTCGCGTTTCTGGAAAATATCGCAAAAAACTTGAACTAAACATTTAACAAAAGCGGAGGAGCACAAGTGTAAAGAACTTAAGCTCACATTTCTAAAAAAGATTGGGAAAACCTTCAAAGCAATAGCAAACAGGAACCGACCGCATAAGATCTCTTTTAACACGACCGGATAAAATATACCGATTGTCCAAGTACTACAGTGAAACGCACGTGAAAACGCGCGTGCATGACAAGATTCAGTACATCACAGGCACGGGAACAACCTCCAGCACCGCTACGGCCGCCTCTCGGGCGATTGAAGCACTACAAGTGGGCGCTAGGGTAGCGATTTTGCATGGCTAGTTTGGCTTTGCACGGCCAATTTGGCTTTGCACGGCCAGTTTGGCAGCAACTCAACTGTCATACAAACGCTTATTGACGCGACCAAACAATGGCGTATTGAGCAGCATACTTGGTAAATAGAAAAATCTGTCATCTAAAGCAGTCTTTT